GACCCACGGCTATATGGCCATGGGTCAACATCCCACACCCCCAGCAAGCATCCCAATCCCCTCTAAAATAGACCCAAAATGGTGCCATTGCTTTTGACCCACGGCTATGTCCACGTGGATCTTGTGGAGAAGTTCGTTGCCCAATCCGTTTCAAGAGCCCGAAGCAGCCTGTCTCCAAAACTTTGTCGTCGCCAGGTGAGACAAGTAACAGGGCGATTGCCAGACGGAGACTCCTGGAGAAAGAAGGAAACTTGTTGTTTTTTTGTATGCGACCCCTAAAATGGTGTTCCTGTTGGTTTCCCTTTGAAAACAAATACAAACAAAACAGATGCACCCAAATGTGAGAACCCAAGCTGAAGTCAGAGGCGCTAGAAGCCGCAGGGATGAGGGTGGCACATTTTGTGAGAGAGAGATCCTGAACAATTAGTTGGCCTTTGGCTGATCCATTTGAAAAGAGGACAATCAAGAACCACCACAAAAAATGGGCCCGACATCCAAAAAACACACACCATGTGCCAGCACCCCCAACAACTGCTTTTCCCCGCGCCCAAAATCCCAAGAACTGTCCAAACAGCAGTCGTTGGGACCCGGGTGCGTGGTTCTCACAACGGGACTTGAACCCGTCTTCCTTCAGAAGCCCAGAGGGATACCAAAGACACGGAGACTTGCAGGCTTTAGTAACTTTAGCATGGCCGTCACTCCAAACCCAAAGACCCCCAAGCTCCCCGCATCAAAACAAGAGGGCGTTGGCAACGCTTTCATAGGACCCAGTTGGGTGTTCCTTCAAGTGAGCTCAATTCCCACTAGAAACAAATTGATTTCCCGATGGCCTTCCCGCTCGCTGGAATCTGATATCTTTCAGACCCCGCCCCACATTCCCTGAGGCCGTTGGCAACACAAGTTGGGAGGAATAATGACCGACACGCTGGGTGTTAAGTGGAAGGTCTGACAGAAACACTCGTATATGATTGCAAAATATATGGAACACGCATGTAATTGCAAAACACAAACTGATTGAAACAAAACGCAAGACTGAGCTTTTTCTATTCAGCACCATCGGGGCAAACAACAACTTGAGGGTGTCCCAGTGTTTTTTGCGGGGGCCTGGGCCTTCCGAGGCTTGGGGGGGCAGGCGGTGTCTTCCGGGCCCTCCTGTTGCCTTTTGTCTTGCTCTTAAAGCATGGCTCTCCCTAGCACCCAAACCACTACCCCCCCCCCCAAAAAAAAAAAAGGCGGGGTGGATACGCTGTACATGCTGGCTCTACTGGCTGTATACTGTATGGAACCCCAGGGTAGCTTCGGTTTTCGGGAGACGCCATCTTAGATTATTGTCCAAGACGCGGCAATCCATGTGTACCAAGCACGATTCGCGCGCGATGGAATCGAAAGCGTGGCTGGTCCGAAGTCCAGACCCGCCTTCCAAAATCCCAGGCACTCCGTGACTCATGGCACACCTTTGGGTTACACAGAGAACTGCATGTTCTGAAAATGCGCATATGGGGATTGATCAATATTCCTGGCCCCCAAGTGGCCATGACTACCTTTCCCATTTATAATCCTTGTGCTTCTCCCCTATGGTCATCCCATGTGAAGTTGGGATCAACCCCCATATATAGTCTACCCTATATAGAATAGTTTTGGAGCCCCATGTGTGGATATGTCAAATCTGTGAGCCCTGCCATCTGTGGCAATATCTGGTTGCCTTCGGGAGGGCACAATGTGGAGTGCCCGGGATACACGCCATCCAAAAGCCACCTCTCGACCTGCAAAGTTACCCGGCAGGGTTGAAGAATCCATCTCGAAGCCCCTCGCCATGGACTGGAAAACTGACGGAACCCACTTGACCAGAACTCAGAAGCCTGACCATGGGAACGAAGGGTACTTGGTATTTTTCTGTTGGTTGGTTTCAAAGAGAAAGACCCTTCCCAAAAAGAAGCAAAGCTGATGCCACTCAAGTCGAAAAAGCGGCAAGGGGTAGTAATGTCGATTCAGAACCAAAAGGGGTGTCTTGGCTTTCCTTTCGGTTTCCCTTTAAAACCAAGAAGGGTAGCCTCACAAAGGACACCCCCAGGCAGCACCACTTTTGGGCCATGCAAAGCATCACTGCGTCTCAATCATCGGACCAACGCCGGTTCGACTTCCCAGAGCATCACAGGGTTAAGTCCACGAAACGGCGGGGTTGCTTATAGGAGGGGTATGAGCCTGCTGACAAATAGTCTAAAGAAAGTGTCCCTCGACGGTGCTGGTTCGCCTCTTACAAGGGTGGGACAGCTTTCATCTGGAGGATTACTCCCAGGTTCACAGACAAGCCCGGAAAGTGGTCGTACCTTGCACGCAAACAACAAAATGTGAGCCGATACAATCGGAGAGGACATAAGGGACTAAATGATTCTGTTTTGATCATCGATCATTGCTTGATTTGGTTTTGAAGTGGCCCACAACCCCATTGTAAAGATTTAGGTCCTTGCAGAAAACCAGTTTTACGGTTCCTGTCTTCATTTCACTGATAAAAAGACCCATCTGGAAAGAGATGTCCAGTCTGTCCGTAACGACCATCAATCCACCACCACCGCCCTCTCCCCCGCCCGGAAGCTTGCTGGGTCTGTGGGAAACGTCCATGCCTGGTTTTTCAATTGGAGAATGGGACCCCCGAATTCATCAACCCGAGTTTTCTTCTCTTTTTTTATCGGGGCTGGGGGCCCCTCCAAAAAGTGATGATTCCCGGCGAAAGCCAAAGAAATCCGGAAATCCCTGTACCGGGGTTCTAATTCCAAGCCTCTTGAAGTGGGCTCGCAGTCCGTTGGTTCTCACCTGCTAACTTGGCGACAAACATCTGCCAGGTACCTTCAATGAATTTGCCCCAGGGCCACTCCTGAGTGGCCCCCTTGAAATGAGGAGCCGCTTTCCGCCAATTCGATGGATCGCCTGAATGATATTCCAACCAACCCGTGGTTTGCACCTCGTCACCTGCAGTGAATGCTGGCTCTACCAACATGTAATAAAGCTTTACAATTCATGTATATATATATATATATTCATTTATGTATTTTGCTTATTTACTTATCTTTGTATAAGGCCCCGTTTTCACGCTCTGAAATTTCGGGCGCTCACCTGGTTAGAATAAAACCTCAGTGAAACAAGGGTCCTCTGAAACTTCGTTCACATAAGCCGTTGTGGACTTTGTTCAAGCGCTCAGGGAATTTTCTGCCAACTGGGCAACACATAATTCGGAGCACCATCTCCTTTGTTGGGAGATCCACCCAGGGAATCCCAAACTTTATGCTCGGCCAGAACACAATAATAGAAGGTGAGCACCTTTTCGGGCCATAACAAACAATTGACCAAAGGGAAACCAAAAGTTTGGCTTTGGGCAAGTGAACATTTTCTGGTGGCAATTGGGCCAGACGATCGGTGAGTATTGGCTGGGGTTGACTGACACGTTCAATTCACTTTCCGTTTAAGGGCCTGGAAACAAACAAACCGTTCAAGGACCGTTCAAGGACCCTTCAAGGAAAGACCGAATCGGAAAACTAAAAGGTCGAAAGGACGGAAATTGCTTTGCGGCCCCGAGCAACTGGGCCAACCCTGAGCAAAGCGTTTAACTTTTTGTTGATTGAATGAAAAGGCCATTCGATTCCAAAAGGGGCTAAAGGGTATGTGAAATTTGTTGGAAGGACACCAAGAGAATGTTGGTTTTGGTGTCCCTTTAAGCCAACCCCAACAAGCGTACCCCCAAAACAACAGGTATCCCCGAAACCCTTCCAGAACCCTGGGCAAAGGTCACACCAAAGACCCACCATTCTCGGTTGCTTTCTGCTCCCCTGCTAAAAGTTTCATTTTTAGTGGTGCAAAAAGTTAAAGTCCTGACATCCAAGCAAAATGCACCAAAGCACCATTGCTGAATGACTTTGGAACTGAGATCCTCTCCCGCTCAACTGGCCAGCCGGCTTCCTCTCGGCCGCCACCGCTTGGGGGGCCAGGCGCCAGGGTTGGTTGCGGACATGCCACATTTTATTTCACAAGACCATTGTGACATCATTTCATTTGAGCAAAGATCAACTGTTAACTTCACTTCACCTTGATAATAAAAAACATGGACCCCTTTGGAATCTATATATAGATGCCCATAAGGATTCAGGGGAAGAAAACCATGACTGCACACCTTGCGGTGTGCAAAAAATTGGAACGCCGAATGCTTCGCTTCACTTCTCTTCTGACTTCCATCCAATTGGGATCCCCAGGCTCTTCGCGCCCTGGCACGCATTCTGGGTAATGCTAACCCCGGATCTAAGTAGAACCCCGATCGGTTGATGTTGATTGGGGGTGTCCAATTCCTTTTAGTGGGGATTCATGCCACTTTTGGAGGGAGCACCCCCTAATAGTGGGACAGGTTTATTAATCCTGGGTCAACATTACTTGCCCTATCATACCTTTTGTACGGCTTGGGAATCCCGCCACTCTCTTTGGAGACATATGTTGGGCCCTTGTTGCTGGCTGGTTTCCAGGATTGCGCCCAATTGCTCTGTGATTCCATACGCGACCCAAGGAGATAGCCCTCTAACAACCGAAGGGAACATGTCTGGGTTGCCAATCCGGGAAGGGTGCAACCAAACCAGCGGTTCATGCGCTTGGGTCGCATTCCGCCGGTGGCAACTGCATTGCAAGCGAGGCCAATAAACAAATCCAAACTTCAACATACAAGGTTCCAACTGGTAATGTTTTGCCGCAGATGAGTATTTATGTCTGTGTACATGTGTATGCATATGCATACATACATATATAAATGTACATATATATATATATATACACCTACATGTATGCATATACCACTATGACTCTCCCACTCTCTCTCTCTCTATCTATTATATATAAATAAATCTATTGGTTGCAAGTATATCTCTGTGTGCAAATCTGCGCACATCTGCAAATGTATCTAGAACTCTGGAGCTCCGCAAACCAGGCGCGATGTATGGATCGCCCCGAGACACGCCGGGCTTGGTTCAGATCAGCTGCAGATTCGCAGGCCGCAGCTTGAGCCGTGCGCCTTGCATCGATTGGAGCGATCGCGTACCACAAATGAAAGGCAGAATGTAGACTTCCATATATGGCTGTTGCTCAAAACCCTCTTCTGTCCTAAGGGGAACCCAGGTAAGAACCAAAGGAGACCAATTGTTTTTTCTACCCATGTGGCTGTGGATAAAAAAAAAAAACGGAATTCCAAAATGGGGTGCCCTGGTATAAACATGGACCAATACCTGCGCCCCTGCTGTTTAATTTTGAGCCACAGCCATATGAACCCCTGGTATAGTACCAAAATGGCAATGAGTTCAAATATATGGACCTATAGAATCAGCCTTTGACTTTAGGATGGACAAATCAGGAGGTTTGGCCTGAACCTCATTATTCGGGTGTGTCTTTTGAGGACCGCCAAACTGGACGGTGTTCATTTGGCTTCCTTTTAAAACCGCAAAAAACAAAGCCCCCAAAACAAAAAAACGACAGACCCATTTGTGTGCGTGTGTGTCTGTCTCTTTTTTGGGAGGCCGCCTTTTCAGCTCACCCAAACCTGGGCTGCCCTCAGATCCCCTGCTAACAGTTTCCCTTTTAGTGGGTTACATTCGGAAATCCAACCACTAAACCAACTAAAAGATCCAAAAAGCTAAGGAACCGGATGGCTGGGAGCCGAGAAAAAATAGCAAAACAAAATTGGGGGGTCCCAGGCGGGCTCCAAGGAGCACGATGTCCATGGAAACTCCATGTGGTTCCTTTGGGTGAAACCCGCCGTCGACACCAAAGACCGGCACTCCACAGGGATCCGGATGCATTATACACCTGAACATTGCCTTGTAAATGGTGGTGTCCCTTGATTTTGCTGGAAAAAGCCATGTTTCAACCAGTTGCAAAGTTGCAAAATGTATCTTTTAAGGAGCCCTGCTCCATTTGCTTCCTTTGGGTGGCGGGCCGTTGACAAGACTGGAGGAAGTGGCCTGCCCAAAAGACAAAACAAGTCGCTAAGTTCGAGGCGGACCAAAGAAAGGACGTGTTACTTCCTCCCCAAGTGAGTCAGAATCAAAACTTACTAAAATGGTCGTAACCATGTAAAGAATTTAGAAGGCTTTTTATGGTTGGGATTGGCCCTTACTAACCTTCATTTACCCGGGTTTTGATTGTGGCTCAAGTCATTTGCGAGCCCCTGCCAAGTGAAGCCTAAGAACAGGTGATCGCCTTTCCCAATTTTAAACTCGCACAGAGAAAGTCTATGCCTCACCAAAACAGGTCACGCAAGTCCAACAACTTGGGGAGGTGGTGAAACCGCGCACATTCGGAACCCATTTCATTTGCGAAGTGAGCCAAGGACAGATTGTGTTGCTCTTTTGTTGTTTGACTTAGGGGAAACATGTCAACAGTCACATGGCAAATGGGACAAAGGCCCTCGCACTGGTTGTTAGATAGCCTTTATCCAAGTGTTAACTGGGTTTCATCTGTCTAAAAATAGCAAAAACGAACAAAGTGTGTTTCGCCCTTTGGTTTTATCTTTAAAACAACCCCAAAAAGGGCACCCCCCCAAAACAATCATAGTAATATGCATAATATATATATATATACATGTATGCCTGTTCTGGCGTCCTGTTTTTGGAGCTACATCATCATGGGTCCCTAGGGTTGGTACAGTCCTACAAGCTGCCCTCCCTTTGGCCCTTGACTCGACAGGGACAATGAAGGAGAACCAAAAAGACACCGGTTGGTTCTGGCAAAAGACGACAAAAGACAACAAAAAACCAACAAAAGACAACAGTTGATATTGCCAGACAGGGACAAAAGGTGGTTGACAAAAAAAGAAAGAGAAAGCTGTTGGTCTGGCAATGTCAACAAGCACCACCCAAACCGCTGCGGTTCAACACAGTTCTAACGAACGAGGCTCCAAACCCATTGCTTACCACCAAAATGGTCTTCCCAAAAAGTGCTAAAGTCCAGGAACTCGCGAAGTGATAGTAAGTTCTGGGTAACCTAGGCTACCCGCGTATAAGCTCCCACTGAAGTCAACCCTGTCTCCATGTTTTGTTTAAGGGATCGTCTGCTTTTGGCCCAACGGACATTTGTAGCCATGCAGTGCGGGTGCAAACCTCACGGTTGCTCCAAGACCGCAAAACCCTCTTCTGTCCTAAGGGGAACCCAGGTAAGAACCAAAGGAGACCAATTGTTTTTTTCTACCCATGTGGCTGTGGCTCAAAAACCGGTATCAAAATAGAACCCTGGTAAGTGAAAACATGGACCAAAACCTGCGTAGCCCCTGCTGTTTAATTTGAGCCACACCCATGTGGTTTTATCCCGTTGGGGGAGCTGACTGGTCGCCGATTTGAGGGAAAACGATAGTATGACTTGCAATCGCAGGTGTTGTAGAGGAGTCTACCCAAAAAAACGAGGAATCTTGCCGCACATGGGCCTGCGTGTGGATTCTTGGCCAGACTTAGACCCCTGCAAAAACTGGCAACTTCTTGGTGGTCAGGGACAACTATGAAAAAACTCACGTCGAAACTTTCGGTAAGCCTTTGGTCTGGCGGTCTGTGTGGCGACAACAATGGTGTTTCAATCAAAATGGACCCCCTTCAGATTGTCTCAACAGCTGCAAGCTATTACGACGGAGTCTCTGCCCAGATAGGCTATGGGGTGGTTTGGGGCAGCCTTTACAGAGTGTTCCAGAGTCCCAGCGGTTTCAGGGGGTTCCGGGGCTGTTGGGGGATACCACCTGGACTTGCTTGATTTTGTTTTGTTTTTGTCCGGCGAAGGGAACTGAAACCTTTGCCATGTTCGTGACCGATTCCTCTGAGAGAAACATCCAAAGGATAGGCCCAACCATCCCGGCTGTGAGCGATGCGGCATGGAATTCATGGCTAAGAGCCTGACACCAACATTTAGACAATTGAAGGCGGCAATATCCGTGTTTCCTACACCGGGCTCATTCGTTTGTGATTGGTTGAACTAAAGCACGAGACAACACCATACAAAGCAGTTCAGGATTTTTGGACACATCCTTCGACTTTCAGTTTCACGTCCGAAGAAACAGAACCTTCCAGACTTAGACCCCAAGTCACCTTACCCCCCAAATATTGGTGGTGTGGTGTGGTGGTTTGGATGTTCGTCCATGTGGTAAAAGGTGGGGTTTAAATCTAAATCCAAACCTGACCAAGAGTTGACTGCTGAACCACCTGGTGGCATAAAGCTTGCTTTCTTGGGAGTCCATGACAATCGGAACCCTTGTGGGAAAATGAGATTAGCGATGACAAGGACAGAACGTTAGTCAACCTGTCAGATCAAAAGGGGGGATGTTCCCACCCAAAGTGAAGCAAGCTCTCTAAAATCAAACACCCCCTATGAACATGAGCATCCAACATATATATATATATATATTATATATATATACACATATGAATATAGATATATGTAGTCACACAAACCAGGTGTTACAGGCTTTACATGACTTATTGCATTGTCAAAGCATGAATATGTTCCCAGATGTAGTTATGCAGCCAGGATGCCATTAATTGACCAGGTTTATTCATCCTGGGTGAACATTCAATGGTATGTGTCAAAAAGGGGGACCCCTATTTCAAAGGCTGGTTTCATTTTTTGTTCCTGGAAGGCTTCAGCCCCCATTTCTGGATATACCGACTCAAAACTCAAAATGAGACACAAATAAGGCAACTTGAGTGAGAAACTCTCCAACGTTTCAATGCTCCACAGCCCTTAAGGTATGGCCTTGCAACAAACGGATTCATTTTGTTCTTTTTTGCAGCCCGCGGGCCCGTAAAAATGAACAGAAACCAAACAACCAAACAGACAACACACAACTTGATCCAACAGCTGTGAAGCATGGGTTCGGAACCCCTTCCACAAAGCATGGGGCACTGGAGGTCTGACTGTTGCCCTGGGCGTGTCTTTAAAAAAAAGGGGACCGTTATGGGGTGTGGTTTCCTCTCCAAGCCCTGTAATACGGTGAGGCCAAGGATAGCCCTCTCCTCAAAACAAGTCGCCGCACAAATATGATGCGTTTGTTTCAACAGAGGCCCCGGACTGGACATCAGAATTCCGGGATTCATGTCCGCCAACCCGTTAAGTTCGGTTCGTAGCCATACTGTGGATGGTTGCAAAATCCAGTTGGCACCACCTAAGGAATTTTGGACTGGTTCGATTCCCACCGTTGTGTATTGTGTTGCCTCTTTTTGTTTGTGACAAACAATGGTTTCCCATGGTTTCAAAGTGGCGCAGGATTTCGTCCATCCACAGTACGGGTTGAGTTGCTGATAGCATTTGGTCCGCCTTGGTATGCTTAAAGCCAGGAAACGGACACCATTTGAGGGCTAGCGGATCGAACTTGAGTTCGCTGCCGAGAGGCCGGAATCCATTTTCACGGCGTATCGGGCCGATGTCTTGTCCTGAAAAGAACTCCCCGCGAACGAACCAACCCGGTCCCTCAAGCTACCCAGAACAATGGGAAGTCACTAATCACCCCACTTTTAAGCGTAGAGGGTCCATCATAATGAACAGAATGGGGTTCGCTAGGCTGAAGCAAAATGTAGTCATGATTAGTTTACTGGGATAAGCTATTAATAATCATTTAGACCACTACATGTATCAAATATTAATCCTGGTGCAAATCCTGGGGTCTCAAAGGTTCTAGCAGTTGTTTGGGTTCCAACGACAAAAACAAAGACAACAAATACAAGACCGAACGTTTACACGTTTGTTTTTGGACAAGTCAGGATACGACAATTTCCCCCCATTCACCGGAAAAAAAAAAAAAAACACCTTTAGACAAACTAGAAAAGACATTCCGTCATTGCTGCGTCTCTCTTGAATGTGGTTGTGTCGTCACGGCAACGCCTTGAGCCAAGGGTTGATTTCATTTGATTAAGACCCCTGGAAAAAAGAACACATATTTCCAGTAGTAATAAATTCCTTTTAAAACCAACAAGGGTAAATTTACACATATTCTTAAGCAAAATGGAAGGTTGATTTCTTGCCCTGTACCATCCCCGAAGTGGGGGTGTATGAATCTGTTCAAATTGTCAGGGCCACAAAAGCTGGATGTGCGACAGCTGCTGAAAAGAAAATCAACTCCCCACATGTGAAGGCGCTGGGCTGTCCTCAGATCTCCTGCTAAAAGTTCGACTGTTAGTACTTGAGGCCCTAAAACCTAATACCACAAAAACCGGACGGCTGGGAACCACCAAGCTTTAGTTGTTCGTGAAAAAGGATCACAGGACACAAAGACCATCTTGTGGGGTCGCCCGTTCCTTTTTTCGGCACCCAGGTAACTTAGAAGACAGCATCGCAACAGAGGATCAAAGCCAAGTCAGCAAGCGCTTTGGGCCTGTTCAGCCTTCTCACACAAAGCCACTTTGGGCAAGTTGACAAGTTGGGCCAAGAAGTAAGCAGTACATTCCTCAGAGAGCCTTGACATATTGGAGGCGTCAAGTACTTGACCATCGCGGAGTCTTGTGCTTCCGGTTTCACCACTCCCCTTTCAAGACTCCACCATATGGATGTGCCTCCTTTTTTTCGGATTGGGTGGTTTGGGTGCGCTTGTCTGGTTGGGGGAACCTAAAACAAACACCCTGTTGGAGAGCCCCCCCCCATATACTTAGAAGGGAGCAACTTGGGTCTCCGCAGTTAACCAGCCGAGGGATTCTAAGAAAGGAGTTGGTTCGCCGTCCCTCATTAAGCCTACCGAGAGCCAGCAAGTCTTCGGGGCCCATCTCTGGAGTACGCAGATTTTGTTCCAAATTCAGGAGAGGTAATGTCGACCCGGGATAACCCGTCCTGTTAGGGGCGTGTCCTGTTCGGCTTTTTTCGTGGAATTCATCGCTTTTAGGGGCGCCCAGCCTATAGGATGGGTTCTGAGATCCGAGGTCAGCAAGGCGACTTGATCAGTTCTCTTGGTGCGAGAGATGCAGGGAATGAGAAATGGAATGTTCCTTAACCATCCAAGCGGTTGTTTTGAAGAACCCCCCCGGGCCCCAGGCCTGGGTTCACATGGTTCATGAACCCACATTCCCTACCGATCGCACCCTCCAATCGTGATGATCCTGGGGTTGATCAATGTGAGGTCAGCAGGTTGGAGACCCGCGTCTGGTTGTCTGGTTTCCTAGGGGACCCGCCTGGGTTCATGAACCCACATTCCGTTTCAAGCCAAACTTGTCCAGTTTTGCAGATTGTCAACCCCACTTCTGACGCCACTTTTGAGCTTTGGACTAAAACACGAAGACCCACCACTTTTGACCGCACCGACCGCGCGCTTGCCTCCGGCTCCACAAAGCTCTGCACGGTGCCCTGCCGGCCATTGAGCCGCTGGGCGTCCTGGCGGATTTTTTTTTCCGACCAAAAGAATCAGGACGCAACCGGAGCGGGCGGAGCGGGCCCGGCAGGGCCGGGCCAAGATTGCCCGGCCACCAGCTAACATGGGTTTGGGGACAGAGCCCCGTAGAAAGACGGCGTTCCTCTTGGAAAGGGATTTTTTGGCACTTGCATGTTGGTGGGTGGGAGATTACCTTCCCACTAACCATGGCATCTGACAGGGGTCCCGTCAAAAGGAAATTTGTCTTCAAGATACCTCCCCACAGGTGCCATGTTTGTTGGAGAAAGGGTATTCTAATAATAGTGGCATGCATCAACTTCTCTTCCAATTGCTTGAGGCCCCCTGGAAAAAATGAAGGGCCAAGAGTACTCTAAACAAACAATGGTAATTCATGAACGTCTCGTCCATTTGCTTAACCCCCCAAAACATGAAGATATGTCCAGCAGTGATAAATTCCGTTTAAAACCAACTCAAAATATGTTTAAGCAAATGAAAGTTCTTCAACATTTATGAGTTGGTTCAATTGTTGAATGTGAGCCCCCCCCAAAAAAAAAGGTGGCGGCCTTTGGGCTTCCCCTGGAAGCTGTCCAACAACGGCTCAGGCCCAGTTTGAGCCACACCCAATTTCTACCAGGGCCGCCATAATTAGAATTAGGGGGGTATTGGCTACTTCAAGATCAAGTTTGGTGATGATAGGAGTATATTTTGGCCCCTTAAAGGATGTGAACTCGCAGGTGCTGAATTTGCCTTTCGAAAAGCTGGATCGCCCCAAGCATCATCTGACCATCGAATGCCCCCTGCTGAGGTCCCAAGATTCTTAGGGGTTCTGAACCTATTCTTGCATAAGATATATTAGATGGATCATACTTATGGATGACATTTAGTTATGCATATTTGGGCCAAATGAGTCAACCCATCTGCGAAAAGAGACAACTGCTTGCTGGTTGGAAGGGAAATGAAGGAGCACCAAAAAAAGCAGCAAGTTAAAGGGGCTAAGCCAGGCGTCGCAATGACTTCGTACTAGTACCAGGTGGAGACAGTTTGTGCCATTCATAGGGCTTCGTCCAGGCTTTTGGCCACCCCCCACCCTCCCAGAGAAAAATCACGGATTCCGGTGAGCAAGATATCCCCATGTTGGACCTTTCCGCCGATCTGTGCCGTTTAAATGCAAAAAACGCAACAAAAGACCCCTCAAACCCAAATGCAAAAAGCTCGAGTCAACCATGATCTTAGGTTTTGGCACTGCCTGTGAGCCTCAAAACAATAGCGGGAACCAAACCCTATAGGCCTGAATTAGATGAAACTCAAAACTTCAGACATGCGCCTTGGGGCGTCTTTGCCCTCTACCTGGACATGGTTGCTCTGAAACCCGGACCCGTTGAACCCCCAGGCGTGGTCCAAAAAACGGCCAGCCCCTCCCGTTCCGGTTCCGATCCTCGGTCTCGAGGCGCACGACTCGCACGCGGGCGCCGGGCTGCAGCCAACTTGGGGGATAGGGCCGCAGCACGAGCTCCACCTCGCCGCGTCTTCGTCGCTTCGAGGGGCCCGAAACCCCACCATGCCCCGCACCTTTGACCGAGGTCGCGTGTGGGTGTTGCATCTCTCAAAGGGTCCTTTGATGCCTAAGGGATGATATTAGAACTTGCTCTTGCATCTCAAGTGCACCGCCAAAGTCGCATGCAATGCACATCCTCACAAAGGTACCTTGGTCGACCCGACCGAGTGGCCTCGAAACGGCGGCTTAAGGACAAATCACGCGGTCCCTGCAAAATGCCGCCACTTTGATTTCTGAGTCTCAATCTGAAAGCACCTCGTGTATCGAATTGAAGCCAGCTGAGTGTATAAGCTTAAGCCGCACGCCTGTGGCCCTGGCGCCACTCAAGCACGTTTGGAGTCCCGCGCTGTATCACATCCAAGGGGAATCCCCTTCTTCCGCCAGAAAGTGGCCTACCAAGAACTTGTCGCACACGTGCCGTGTACTTCTGCGCAACAAGCCAGGTCTATTGGGTCGCCCGATGTTGCCTTCATCGCGAGCGGTTTTGGGAAATCACCTTTGCAATGCCAATGTGGGATTCCCTTCTTCAATGACCACCTCACGTCAGTGCCCATGTGGTAGGTGATAATGAAAGGGACCAAAAAGGACCCAGAAAGTCGGACCCACCTGATATCAACCCAATATTGGGGTTGATGTTTCTGGGAAAGCCATATAATATACTAAATTCTAGCAGGTTGATATCTGCTGGGTACGATTTTGATCTTCAACTCGGTATGGCAGCAACAATCCACAAACCAAAAACCGAACAACTTGCCAAGAACAGCGAGGTGGTTGTGACTCATGTTGAGAACCCAACCTGGGCTGTCCTCAGATCCCCCGCTAAAAGTTTAACTTTTAGTGGGCTGAATGGAAATCCTCACTAAACACTAAAAAAATCTAAGAAGCTAAGGGGATGGCTGGGAGCCACCAAGAAACGACTTCCCAACAGCGGTGAATCGACCGCCTTGCGGCCAGGCCAGACCAGCAGGGAGCAGCGGTCAGGGCACACCGGGAAGCTCACTGGCAAGGCCGCCACCCTCGCGCCTAAAGGGAGGATCGGTTTGGGCTGGGTGAAAGGGTTGGGGCAGTCCAATGCCTACTCCCACCCCCGCACCCCCACACCCCCACACACCCCACAACCCACCCCACACCAATTCTGGGTTTAGGGGGGTGGTTCTCAGGGGTCCCAAGTTGGAGGGGCTTAGATCCTCCACACCCTCGAGTCAAGAGCGGCCTACTTGCTCCCCTTGAACAAACGGAGCAATCACAAAACTGGTCATTTGATCTTCACAACCCCTGGTATGGTTGCAAAAAACTGACTGTTTTGTGCAGCCCCCTAAAAATGAACAGAACAAAAAAAGAAAGAAAGAAACAAACAACTTGCCAACAGGAAGTGAAACTACCTTTGATGGCCGCGCCCCGAGCCCGCCCTCGCACGTTGAATTTTAGGATCATTTTGCCCCTTCCGGCGCCTTTCGCCCTGCCCTTCACTTGGCTATGGGTCAAAAAAATCGGCGTACCCAAAATGGCTTGCCCTGGTAAAATGGAACCAAAGACCAAAACCTGCGGTCCGATTCCTGGTGGTGCTATTTTGACCCATACTTATTTGTTTGTAGGCACCGTAGGCTTTTGCTTTATCTCGGGGGCTTCATCACGCCCGTACGCCACACGGCCCAGATCTGCCAAATTGATTTTTTGTGCATTGATTTCAAGACCTGAAATCAGGGATCCCTAAGCAAAGGACCTACATCTCGTTTTACCCCCCGAATCGGTGGGAAAATCGCTCGCAAATAGGATGTGTGAACCTGAGGCAGGGTCAGCACCTCAATGAGGTGCTAGTGAAACAGCCCCGGTTTCGAGAATCCCCAGAAACAGTGAGAATCATGACCCCAGTATTCGATGCCAAGGGATCCTACGAATGCCCCAAAGATGGCATTGGGCATAAGGAAAGACCCCAGTTTACCATACTTCACCATGGCTTTGTGGCAATGTTTAGGGCATTCTGATTCCATGTCCAAAAATCAGACCCCTTCCGGCCTCATGCCGTCTTGGGCAGTGGCGAACTGACGATCCTGCCCTCCCGTTGCCGAAGTGCGGCTTTCCTCCAAAAACGTGGTTTGGAGGTCGGTTTCTGGGTTCTCCAGTAGAGAGGTTAGAATAAGGGTACCCCTTTTTCTGTAGTCTATTTTAGTATGGGAACCCTCCCCAAAAAAAGAAGCGGTAAAAGGGCACTACTGGGAGACCTAGGTTTGGATTGGTTCTCCGTAGTTGTCCAATCCACAAGAAGCCAGGGTGCAAATTTCAAATCCGAACCACAGGAAAGCCTGAATCAAAGGGGTCCCTGCTTCCAAGCTTGGGAAACAATATACATATAAAGAAATAGATTGACACCCCCGCCCTCCCCCCCATCCCCCGCAACCCCCGCACCCCCCCAAAAAAATATATCAACACCTACTTCTCCGATTTCTGGTACTGATTCAAGCTGGGTATAAGTGAGAACCCACTCAGGCTTTCGTGAAAAGTGGATCACCACTCACTTACGCAAAGGACCTACAAATCAATAGTGACCCGCAAAAGGGCGTGCATTTTGTAAGGGTAGCCTCTTTTCGGGGAAGCTTCAAAGGAAACCATCGGGAAATCACTTGTTTTGTCTTTGCTTTTTCTTCGTTGTTTTTGTTGGGGGAGTCCCTAGACAGACAATGACAGATCCACCCTGCATCTAACGCCAGGTTACCCACAGTCCGGCGCAGCATGTAGTCTTTGGCTGCGCCACGAATCAGCAAAGAGAATTGCTTTCGCTCCTGGCGCCACGAATCAGCACCAGGTGTCCAAGAGTTGCTTTTTTTTCACATGCCCTTTCAAATCCCCACTTGGATGTGATTTCCCCATCATCATCCTGAATCTTGTCTAAACCACAACCCCAGCGACATTGGCCTTGGGGATGTCCTGTGTTGGGAAACCTGGAGGTGTTTCTATGAGGCAGTGACCTGACCTGACCCAAGAGGGCCTCATGAAGATAGCCCAGAGAATGCCCTCAATCCGATCCCCTGCAGAGCGCGAACATTGGCTGCAAAAGAACGGAAAGGTAGATTATGGCTTCCGCTTGGCAATGAGCAGATTGAAGGGAGAACAAACAAGGCCTCAACATCTCGCCACGGAAGCGGCTAGGGTATCGCCAAGCACACGCGAAGTGAAAAACCAAGTTGAACAGATCGGTAAGCTAGGCCTAGGAAACCCTTGGACCCTATGGGCTTGTGAGCTCTAAAGACCTCAAACAAATTCGGGTTTTGGGTTGCGTCTGGCAGTGATGCTCAGACCCGAAGTAGCCATGCCTGAAAAGATGTTCACGGGAACCCCCCTTTCTGAACAGAAAGAAAAGGCACTAGAGGTCGAGGAGTCAGGTACTTGGAGTTTCTGAGCAAATCAAACCTGGCCATGGCAAGAAACAACTGCAGCAAGCTATTTGCAAGGTGTGTATTTGAACATCCGGGAGCCCTGAAAATAGGTTGTTTCCCATCGCTTTAAACCAGCCCCGTTGCAGTGTACTAGTACCATCGGAAAGAAGGAACCGCACCCCCCTGCACGAGGATCAATTGTGTTCCCAGGCTGTTTCAAGCGCTTTTCAACAAACACAAAGCACCTGCCTATATGCGGTGTAGTTGATGACCCCCTACATTGGCTGGGGGTTGGGCTGGGGGGACCCTGAACACTGGTCTGAGCTACATGTCAGCTGCTACAAACCGCGGGGGGGTGACAAACTAAAGCAGCAGAACCAACATTGAATAACTCAAAACAGAACCAATAAACTAAACAATGACCAACATACTACTCATCACGCAATTCCAGAAAGTAACAAACCACTAACACAACTCACATACTACAAGCATCATTCACACAACGACACAACACTCAAACCGTGACTAGTCAACTAAGAAGCCAATAAACCCCACACACACACAGACACACGCAAGACGTGGTTGTCGGAAATAACTTTTTTTATGTGATACTACAGTCCACGTCTATCACTACTTTTATGGCCATGGGTCAAAACCCCGTACCCCCAGTGAACATCCCAATCCCCGCTAAAATAAACTAAACTGGGTGGTGCACCTACCCCAAAATGGTACCATTGGTTTTGACCCACAGCCTTATCACTGGCAGGAATTCCCCAGTCACTCTTGAAGGAACTCTCTGGGCCAAAAAGTGTCCAGAAAGTGCCCACACGATCTGATGTGCACAATCTCTATTGGGAAACCACCACAAAGGAGACCCCTCTCGTAACCCAAGGAACCCTCCTGTCCACTAACAAGGGGTCCCGGAAGACTATTTTCCTTGAGGAGGGACCCTCTGCTAGGTTCCATTTTTAGTGGACAGGAGGGTAAGGAAGGATAACCTTTTGCACAGCCCAGGCCAAACACAACGTTTTCCAAAACCCCCCCAGCAGCCGTGGCTTTCTCACTTCGGGTGATTTCATCCAAGGAGCAAACTGCGCGGTGGCGGTGTCGCGCGTCACCTCCTGCAGCACCTCTCGCGTCTTGAGAAAATGTCCCGAAGCTGAGAAGTGCAATTTTGGGTGCACCCAAAAAAACCCAGATTCCGTCCAACCTCGGAATCCGGTACCTTTGGCCGCAACAAAAACACCCACAGATTTCCCGCATTGTGCCCTGGCCCAAAGATTGTGGGTCTTTCATGAGGGTCTCCAGGCTTGGGATAATAGTTTTTGTTCAGATCGTCAGTACCTGCAGAGGTGCAGAAAAGCAAGGGCGTCGCTTGGATCCCACGCGAGCGAATCTGGAAAATCGGATCCGCCAGGATGTGTGTTGGGACTGGGCAAGTGAGAGGAATTCAACCTTCATGAGCTCGAGAGTTGCAAGTTTCAGAGTCCCTTGTGTAATTTGAGACACATCACCTGGGCCACCAACAAATGGCCAATTTGGCCGAACAAGTGGGGCAGTTTGGCTTGGTGGGTTTTGAGGCCATCCTCCCCTTTTTTGCAGTTGCCCGATGACCATGTGATATAAAGGGACCTTGTTTGGCTTCACGTCTTGAGTGGAGAACCCCCAACAACCCTTCAAATACATATATATATATAATAGTGCGTATATATATATATATTAATGGACTCCCAAAACCATCCTTCACGAAACCTCGTTTCAGAGGAGTCACTGGACTTCCCCTTCAAAGATTGCCATTGCAATTGCCCGGTGGTTTCATTTGGAGGTTCCCTTTCAAGGGAAACGGACCCCTGGTTTCGAACCCCATCTTTTGGCTCACTGCCTGAGTGGATGGCCCAAAAAAGGTCTAAACTTTAAATTTACCACCAAAATGGTCTTCCCCAAAAGTTTAAAGTTCATGAACTCAGGAAGTGAGTTGGCGGTTCCATCCGCAAAAAACGAACCCCAGAACCCCTGCCTTAGGGCAGCGCACCACCACGTGGAAGCGGTGCAAGGACCCGCAGACCTTGCCTCAGCGCCAAGCAGTTCGTGCCACGCAGTTCGGTCTGTGCTTGGGTCGGTCTTCGTTGCCAAGTTGCCAGCAAACCCGGGGGATCCCCTTGTAGGTCTCCCGTTCAGAGCTCACCATGGTAGTAGTGGGTTAGAAGAAACCGGCCCAAAAGGGTGGAAACAACTCAAAAACAAATAGGGACCCTTGTGCTGGCATATGTATCCCCCGCCCAACACAAGAAGAAGAGAAGGAAGAACCGCAAAAAAAAAAACAGAGCGAGAGAGAGAGAAAGAGTGAGCTCGAGAGAAAGAGAGGAAGAGAAAGAAATAAATACATAAAGAAAAGCAATAAAGAAAGAAAGCAAGAAAGCAACAAAGCAAGGAAGGAAGGGAGGGAGGGGAGGGAGGGAGGGAGGGGAGGGAGGAAACAAAGGATGCGCGTTGGCCATCTTGAATATGGCTCTCTTTGTTGCTAAGAGTACCCTTGTGTAGGCTCGTTCAAGGAATGCCTGCAGGTTGTCCAACTTGCAGTAATAAAATGTGTCAAGTTCATAGAGCTTTTCCTAGAACCCCCCCCCCAAAAAAAAAAACAACACATTATTTTTAAAAAATGACATAAATATAAACAAATATAGATATAAACAAATACCCCAAAAACCTATATATATATATATATATCTATATATATATATAACACAGATGAATAAAACGCCACCAACCCCCCCCCCCCCGAAAAACAATCAAAAACACCTCTTTCTCGGGGTTGGGGGATCCCCTGCCGGGGGGGGGTACAAGTCCGGCCGGGTTCGGCCGGTTTTCCGCCGGGATCCCAAGGGTTCCCCCAAAACCCCCTCGAAACATTTCCGACTGAGGACTGAGGACCGGCAAGTTGGTCAAGACTCTGGGCCATGCTTGCAATCCGCGTAGGGATTCTCGCAATGGGTATCTACCAGGCCTCTGCTCTTGACACATAGTTTTGCCTCGTAGCGACCACTTCTGTATCTAAATTGCCATTAGTTTGTTAAGCAATCCCGGAGATGCCATCCCCAACAGAACCCTTTCGGGCAAAGTGCAAGGCCACTCTGGAACATATTTGGGCCTATCGACCCCAACGCTTGCAGCTTGGGGGCAAACGAAACGACCAGTCGAAGTGTCTATTCAATGGTCCAGAAAAAAAAGAAGAAAAAAAAAACATTCCTTTAATCCAACCGTCGCCGAGGGTCTCCAGTGCTCGTAGTACCCAAAGTCCACAATGGCCTCCACTGGCCTTGACGGGGTCGCGGGGCCTCGGCTCGTTCGCGACATGGGCTGAGTGGAACCCAACCGAGGGGTCCCATGAGAGCCTTGGGCTCCATGTGAGGCTCCGGAACTCAACCGGCTTCCATTGGTTTAAGGTAAGCGCCTAAACCTTTGGAATGCTCTGAGACTACATATATATATATATATGTATATATATATATATGTATCATGCCGATAGGGCTACCAGTAAATACGCCGAGGACTGAAACCCAGGAAAAGGCTCACCTTTCTTGGGGGAATCATTCAACTGTGTTTTTAAGCCTACCCTGGGGTAAAGAAAGAGTGGAACCCTGGTTAACGCAAGCATCCCGTCTCCCGTGACCATGGAAAAGAAAGGGTACCGTTCTTTAGCGGCTGATTCTCAAAGGACACACGGGATCGTAATGTTGATAATCCTGGACAAAACCGTACTCTAATTCGCGGCCAAGTGCGTAACTGTTTGGCCACTTGGGTTATCCAGCTTACCCACAACTTACTTGGCGTTTTGAGCCCTATGCCGTCCTCGAACCCTCCCGCCCCCTCGGGGCTACAGGATCCGAGTTTGGCCCCATTTTGTTTTATAGGAGATTGAAACTATGGTGGTTTCCCTTCTGCCTTCAAAATCACCAACAGGTATCCAAACACCCCCGGCGGTGTCGAAAGCAAGCTCTTCCCGGGCTTCCCCACTTCCCGGCGTCTTTGGAAACGCCAACAGCAGCTCACCTGCCGAGAATCAGTCTCAGGCGGCAGGCGGTTTCGCATGAGTTGGCGTGAAATCAGCGAATCTGGGGGGTGGGGGGGGGAGGCAAGCCCCGAGATGTTTCGATACACAATATAATACCATTTAAAACAACAAGTAACATATATATATATATACCTAGCTAGAGACTAGGGTGAGAACCGGCATAATGTCTTGTCAGGGTCCAGGATCCGGTTGCGGACGCGTGACCCACGATCCGAGGGCCAAAAGCACAATCCATTTCTCATTTCTCAGCGCATCTCCATGTGAAATCCCAGCACCCTTCCTTGGCTAGACTTCCACCCCGCCGAGAGTGGAGACTCTCTTGCACACACACACAGACACACAGACACAGACACACAGACACGCAGACACACAGACACACAGACACACGGACACACAGACACACACAGACACACACAGACACACACAGACACATACAGACACAGACAGACACACACAGACACACACAGACACACACAGACACAGACACACACAGACACACACAGAGACACACACAGAGACACACACAGAGACACACACAGACACACACAGACACACACAGAGACACACACAGAGACACACACGGAGACACACACGGAGACACACACACAGAGACACACACGGAGAGACACACACAGACACACACAGACACACACAGACACACACACAGACACACACAGAGACACACACAGAGACACACACAGAGACACACACAGAGACACACACGGACACACACAGACACACACAGACACACACAGACACACACAGAGACACACACACAGAGACACACACAGAGACACACACAGAGACACACACGGACACACACAGACAAACACAGACACACACAGACACACACAGACACACACAGACACACACAGACACACACACAGACACACACACACACAGACACACACACAGACACACACACAGACACACACACGGAGAGACACACACAGACACACACACGGAGAGACACACACAGACACACACAGACACACACACAGACACACACACAGACACACACAGAGACACACACAAAAACACACACAGAGACACACACAGAGACACACACGGACACACACAGACACACACAGACACACACAGACACACACAGAGACACACAGACACACACAGACACACACAGACACACACAGAGACACACACAGAGACACACACGGACACACACAGACACACACAGACACACACAGACACACACAGACACAGACACACACAGACACACACACACACAGACACACACACACACACACACACACACACACACACACACACACACACACACACACACACACACACACACACACACACACACACACACACACACACACACACACACACACACACACACACACACACACACACACACACACACACACACACGCACGCACGCACGCACGCACGCACGCACGCACGCACGCACGCACGCACGCACGCACGCACACGCGCGCGCGCACACACACACACACCCACGTGTGCGCGCGCACGCACACAGACACACAGGTTCAACATTTGTATACCGTTTGCCTGTGCATAGCAAAAACCATTGCAAAAGTGCCAGCTCCCCCTGTCCCCGCACCCTCCAAAAAACGACACTGGCCGACGGCTGTTAAGTCCTTGTTTGGGGGAAGCGCGTGGGAGCGGGTCTCTATGAAATTTGAGGGGGCGGGGGCGACCCTATGAAAGACAGTCCCACGGGTTGGACTGCACGAGGTGTTCAAGCACTCACTCCCGAACCCGAGTGCCCTTGCTATTCCCATTTTTGCGAGGTCCCCTTTAAGTCAGCTACCAAAGGGGCCACTGGAGGCAGGGTAAATTTTAAATGGTTGGACTTGTTTTGCGAAAGCCAGCGTGTCCGCTTTTTAAGGGAAACTAAACACAGGTTGTTCCGCAATCGTCGCCTTCAGCATGTACCTGGGTGGCCGAAGCCTGTCCCCACCCCCAGACCTGTTCAAAAGAACATATTTGAATGTCTCTTTTCAGGGGCACCCGCAAAATGAATGGTGTCCATTGGTTTCCCTTGAAACCCCACACCCCCCCAGGTTTGTTGGGTGCTTTCTCTTTTACAGTCCTGAGTGACCAGACCCAAAAAGCCCCCCTTAGCCCCCTCAGCGCCACGCGCGAAAGAACCGCAGCATTGGTTGGCCGCGAAATCACGGTTCCATATGTTGATTCCCCAAAGTAGATTTAAACACGCGAAACAGCGGGAAATCATCCACCCCGGATGAAAAACGTACAGGGTACAGTTGGGTGAAAGAAGATGGCACAAATTCCTCAGGTTGGTTTAGTTCGCCTCCGCACTTACCCACAAAAAGGGAACTGTTCCAGAAAGGAAACCAACTGTAGCGGACCCATTCCCGTGTTGAGACATATTCAAGTTTACCTCAGAGGCTCGTAATCAAAAAATGGCAATCCCATGGCCCAGGTACAGTTGAACCCACGGGTTGTTCGTAGGATTTTTCGTCAACCTCGGGGCTTGCAATCAAAGCATGAGCATGAAGTCTCATTGGGGATCAGTTGGACATCATTGAGCGCCCAACCCCTTTTGAGGTTCCAACTTAGTAACATGTTGACAACCTCCCCCGAGTGGAGCTTAACCCTCTTAGTGGGTTATAACCCAGGCTGACTCACCACCTACTAGTTTTGCCTACTTGGCATAGCCACGTGGCTGTCCATTTTTTTTAGGCGACCCCCCCACATTCCTTTCAAAAACCAGTACCTTACGGGGGTGCCAACTCCAAACAAGACCCCCAAAATGGTTATTTTCCTTTTGGTCCTCTTTAAAACCATGAAAACGGGGAGTACAAACTCCTGGAAAAAGACGAGCCCAGGTTGAAAAAAAGGAAGCGGGTCTCCAGCCGCCGGCGAAAACCGGCAAAGAACTCCGGCGCCGGGGGTCGCCTCCCTGGAAGCCCTGCAGATCCAAGGGCCGCTGCGGCTCCACCGCCGGCTCCAAGTGGGTGAGCTCCTGCGGCATGGACCCACCCCCAAGACCCGACCGACCCGACCCGACCCGGTGGGGTTGGTGGAGGGCACCTGTTGGTTGGGAAATGGAAACACAAAGCAAGATGATGTGTTTTTTTTGGAGGCCAGCCTATTTTGACACATAGATCTTCAGAGCAAGTAAGGTTGCCCCTCCCCCCTTATAAAGAGGCGTCTTTGGGGGGCGGGGGGTTGGCTTAAGCTTGATTCAGGTCCAAATAAGTGCAGGGGGTCTTAGGGAAGGATTGGTCGAGCAGGCACAAAGCAACGCCACTGTCTGAAAGATCGGAGCTCTCAGCCACATTTCTTTTGCGGATCCACCAAAGCCGTGTGAACACACACACACACACACATGGTGTGATTGCTAGGGGACCGTTACATTGACCCAGACATTTCGTTCGGACATTTGGTTCTCAGACTGGGACACTGGAGGGGGGGGGGTGAATCATTGGAACCATTGGAACAATTGAGAATAATTGAGAATAACAAGGAGCGCGGTGAATGGATGGAATGACTAACTCCCTAACAGGCTGACAGCTACTCTAGAAGCAATAGGTAAGCTCGGGGTCATTCCCTAGAGCAAAAAAAGGCAATAACCAAGTCACAAGGAATCTCATCTTACGGGAGGGCCACGTCTCCATCTTTCACTCTGATACTCCCCTGCAAAAAACTATCTGTTGGTTACTTGCTATAGTGACTGGAGAAGCATATTGGATGCAGTGAAAGAAGATTATTCTTTGCCATGCCCAGTGGATCCAGATACCACTGCAGGCTCTAGAATTTGCTTTTTGATAGGATCTATAGAGGTAGCTGGATCCTTTCGGATGGGTCTTGGGTAGCCTCCAGTCATGCCTCCAGATAGTTTCTGTGTTTGCCATGGGTTTTACCTCCCCGGGTCATTGAACCATAAAAACAACAACTGGTTGATAAGGCTTTGGCCCAATCATGGCTTCGAATGGGTTTGCCTTTGGAGGAACTCACCGCAAAAGTTAATGTTGAGGGGAAACCAAGAGACAGACCATCTACCACAATCATAAGGAGAGCCCCTTTTGCTTGTTCTGACCACTTGTGAATTGTCATAGTTTCCAAAGATGGGACGTTCTGATTGAGGGCTTGGCTCGGAATTCTCCCTGGGAATTCCCTTTTGAGACTCACTGGGGCTTGGAGGGTCGTGATGTCACCAGGCTTTGTTACTCAAAAATGTCGAGCCCGAAGGGTTTGAGAATGGGTTACCCATCAGACCCCTGGGGAATTCCAGCGAACGCTAAACAGGGATCCGGATGCATTATACACCTGAACATTGCAACTTGTACATGGTTGTGTCCCCGTTTTTTTTGTGTTGAAAAAGCCATGTTTCCAATGGGCAAAATGTATCTTTTAAGGAGCCCTGCTAAAATTGGGCCTTGACAATTGATTCTTTGGTCCCACGTCCTTCACAAAAGATTACAAGCGCGGCTTAACGCTTGTTCGAACCGGGTCTCAAAGAAAATTGTGGACCACCTCTAAGGGAAACAGTCCTGTTGACCGAGGCTCGTGGAAACCGAAAATCCATGAACATCCATCTGCAAATGTGACTACTCCCAAAACTGAAATAACCTACCCTACAGTAAAATATGTGTTAAAATAGGGGAGCCTCTAAAATTGGCGGCGCCCTTTTAGTTTCCAGCCCAAGCAACCGCTTTCTTTTTGGCTCTCCTGTAAACCGCCCCAAAACGGGGACCCGCAAATCAGGATGCAACTAGGGACGTCCAAACGGAACCTGCATTTTGTTTTTACAAATCCAAAACCTGATTTTGTGAGTCCCGCATAGAAGCTCAAGCCGGTCCAACCGGAACTTTACCCAAAACAAATCGGAACTTATCACGCAAGCTTCAAATACGGCCCTCTGGCACTTGGTTGTTGCATGCTTAGAAGCCTTTAATGCTTATACTTTGCTTCTTGACTTTGCTACGCCTGAAGTAGCTGGAAATCATAGCACTTCTGTAGTTCCGTTGCTCTTGCTGCTTAACATCGCATGGTTGTATTGCCAAACACGTAGTTTACATGCCCATAGAAAGGAGTGTGAGCTCTTGCCGGCTTGTCAATGAGCACAGTAACTATCCGGAAATGCGTGATAATTATTGCCTTGTGCGCCTATTGCTGCGGAAGGAGACAGAGACTGCAATGCAATCAGGAAAGCCCCGCATTCGTTCAAGCAGTTGTGCATCCATGCCCTCATCACGTCTTGCTGCTTTCGTGCTGTGATCTCGCACTTTGCGCAGTTGATTATGTTGAAGCTGGTTGCAGTGTCAATGAGGTAATATCTGTATACAGATATGATAAATATATGAATAAATCGATATGTAATCATTTGTTGAAAATTGTTTTTGTATGCCTGCCGTGCGCGTACGTCTTTTCCGTCTTTGCATTCGTGTCTGTGTTTTTGGCTCTCTTTGGTGATAGAGCAAACCTGCCCTTTTGCCAGACCTTTTGCGTATCAACGTGTTTGCGCAGCACGCTTGCTTGTGCAGCATGCGCGCACCGGCTTTCAGTGAGTACAGTATATGTTCCAAACAGCACGTGAATCAGTACAAATACATTCTATGGGGCAAGCGCGTATGAACAGTTGTTGCCAAGTGAAACTCGATTGCCAAAAAAGAAGCGCAGGCCAAACTGGAAATGTGGGCAATGGGCAACGTAAACACGCTAATGCCAACCAGAAGACACGGGCGCAGAACGATCGGCAGCAACCCCAAGACACAGCCAGCTTCGGCTGAATGGCACAGGCAGAACAGGAGGGCAAATGTGTGAAATGAGCCAAGGCACACACACACACTCAAAGCCATTGGCACACAGTAAGCAACAAGCTCTTCAAGGTTGAGCGCTGCCAGCTGCAGGCCCGCAGGACAAATGACCAAACCACAATCTTACATACAACGCAAATTGTTTGCGGGTCCTTTGCGGAGACACTGAGGAACTTACGCTACGCGTCCAGGTTCTGAACGTCTTCTTTGCAGAATCCGAATTGAGTTCCACGATAGCAAACAACACTGAACTGAGTTTTGAATGGGTCCGGAGTCTCCAGCAATGCGTGAGAATGCGCGAATAAACGCCGGCACGATACGGGACTCGCAGCTCTTCACAGGACGCACCATTGAAATCCGAGTAAAGAGATGGGACAACAGCAATGGAGCTATGCTTGACAACAAGCGAGCCATAAATCTGTCTCGCGACCAAAGCAAGCAACGACTATTCTCTGACGCCATTCGATGTCTCTAGAGGCATTGCAAAACACGGCTAAACCTAAGCTGTAATGAGTCAAGCACGTGCATGCGTTCATGTACATCCACTCTTTGTACAATAAGGCAAGCAACAACTAACACGCATGCACGAAAATTTAGCATATATTGCAGGAGTTTCTCGCATATGTTGAAGTGTGTTGCATGTAATGTTGTTTCTCCAAATGTTGTGTTGATTCTGCGTGTGTTGTTCCGTGGATTGTAGACACCTTTGTGAAAAACATTTGCTGCTGTTCAGTCTTTGAGTGCATAACTGCCATCATCGCCAAGTCAAGTGCATGGGTTTGCTCAAAGCGCCAGTGACGACAAATATTACCCAGTATTTGGCACCCGCTGCAGGCATCAAAGAAGCATAGCACAGCGTCAACGTAGTCAAGCATGTCATTTTGCTGCCGGCTTCCAAGTACATGAATTTCCTTTAGCAAGGAGCCTATGATGCAATGACAGACACATTGACCAATGGCATGACTCAAGGCGCCTCCGCGGCCAACTTTCGGCCAACAGAAGAAATATCGTATGTTTCCACCAGCTTCCGAGTACGCGGTCGTGGGCTTGGCTTGGCCATAGGCCAAAAGGATGTCTCGCTTTCTTTTTCCCAAGATGTCTCCGCAACCAAATTGGGGCCAACCGGATGTATGATGTTGTTTGTTTTCCCCGGCGGCTTCCGAGTTCCTGGATTTTGTGATCAAAGCGCCTTCGCACGTTGATGGTAAAACTGCGTAAATTCTGAGCAGCGGCCCGTGGCCCGAAAAATGTCTCGGTTTTTTAAAACCGCTGCATAATTTCCACTTGTAGAAGCTCAGCTGTGATTTTCCTGCCGATGCGACAAGCCCTTAAAAGTCATTGATGGGCTTGAACACGTTGAATTTATACAGTGGTTTTTAAAAACCGCGACATTTTTGGGGCCATTGGCCGCGGCTCAGATTTTGCTTGTGTTTGCCACCAAGATTCGAAGGCGCCTTGGGGACAAAACCATGTACTCGGAGGCCGGTGGAAAAAAAAACCGAGACATCCAGTTGGCCCAAATTTGGCTGCGGAGACGCCTTGGGAATAAAACCGAGACATCCTGTTGGGCCCGATCTGGCTGTGGCGTGTTGTGGCCAAAAGTATGTAAGCGATATTCTGTTGGCCGAAATTCGGCTGCGCGGCTCCTTGAAACGAAGCTCAAGCTCTTGAACCCGGGTGAACAAGATGTTCTATTGTTCAACATGTGCTTGAAAAGGTACTTGGAACACCATAAGCTCAGAAGCAAGGAAGAAATACGTGGTGCATTTTGCCGGCCCCAAATGTATTGAATCGGCGCTTTGGAGACGCAACACAGTTGATTTTCGTATAGAACCCTGCTGGAATCTGCTGGAATGTAACACAATGTGGAAAGCTAGCTGATGTTTGCCTCGTGGAACGTAAAGCCATGTTACTGGAAGTCAATGGGAGGGCACATGAAACACACACACAGCCGAAGCTATCCCTAGCATGTTTTAGAGAATATCTCTCAAATCATGCACGCCATGTACTTCAATTTATGTGAGGCTTAGCTTCTGGAATCCGGTGTGCTTAGTTAGTACCATGCTGTGGCGAATAATGTTTGTCCTTTGCAGATCGTACTCTACACGTCAACCATGGCTTGGCTTGCCTTTTAACGAGGTGTCTAATCAGTAGATAAGCATATGCATTTACCTGATCAATGTTTTCTTGATTGCTTCCCAGATTCTTAAGTGATTTTGAGTGGCTGGAAGGAACAATTGCTTGTTAAGTTTGATGTGTTCGTGGCCCCTGCAGAGTTGGTCATAAACGTTAGTTGTTTGGCGATTGCATGCGATTGCTGCGAACTAGTGAATCTAAAATTCAGCAGGTGTTGAACCTGCCCTGATTGCTTGGACTAACATTTGGTTTTGTGGCAGCTTTGGCGGTAAGCCAAACGCGAAAAAAGCGATTGTTATCCTCAACCACGCGCTGTTTTTCATCAACAAGCGCAACGCATACCTGCTAAGTAGACTTGCTCGGGCCTGGACACATGAACTTTCTCAGCGTGTGTAAGCTTGCATGATCTGACGTGTCCTGGAGGCGTGCCGCAAATCTTAACATGCCCATTGCCCTTTGTTTGCGATGAATTTTTGATGTGTCCATGTATTCATTTCACAGATTTGCCCTTCTGTTCTGCTTGTGCCTTCCAGCCAGAGCCAGTTCTGCTTTTTGCCCTTGATTAGGTTGCTGCCGCCGTTCTGCACTCCTGTTGGTTGGTTGGCGTTTGCGCGTGCGTTGCCCATTGCCTCTAAGCTTTGGCAGCCCCCAGTCGTATTCCAATGAAGGCCGTGTTTCTGATAAGACAGTTTCTTGGCCAAGCAAATTTTGATGAGAAAAAGGAGTGTTCACACGCGCTTGCCCTGCAGAACTACTTCGCGCTGAGCCATGCGCTGTTCTGGGCACGCGGTGTCCGAATTGTTCGCGACATGACACACGTCCTTTGCGAGAGCAGCCCGCCAGCATGCACACACACACACACACATACACTCCGACACGCGAATGGGCAAACAAAAGAAACAAAGCATACGACATTTCTGGATTCATGGTGCAACTCCAACACAGCGATCAGGAAACGACAGCACGTTTGCGCAGAGTATGGGTGCTAGCAATGACACACACACACACATACATGTATAGATGCACATTTAGCATTCGAATGGATGTTACCAGGTGGAAACTGGCAGCATGATCAAAGTGACTGAGGCTTGAAGCAAGCACAACGCAAGAAGAGTGCAAGCGAGTGGGTTTACGGTTGCCAGGATGTGACCCTACGTGGATGGGCTTGTGGGGCGCTTTTGAGCGAGTCATAGTGTAGCTTGCATTCAAGCACGGTGTGATGCCCGTAGACACCTATCAGCAAGAGCTGCGCATGCAGCAGTTCTGATAGCTCCAGCTGCTGCCAAGAGCAGTGAACAAACAACTCAAGCCCACATGAAGCAAGAACAAGTCATGCGAAGTGAAAATAGACAAATCCTAAGACACTCTACAAATATGCTTTTCCGTGCACACACGCTGCCAAACCATATGACAAGTTCTGGTTTGCGTTGGGTGAAGTTCTGGTTGCAGCGGGTTGAGTTTATAGGTGACCTTTTGGAAAATGGATGGCCCTGGTAAGCGGAACAAAACCCATCTAAACCACCAATCTAACCAATCGATTTCCGTCCAAACTAACCCAAACACAAACACTTGAAACAAATGGAGGTCGTTCTCCAAACTTAAAACGGGCCATGACCAAATCTCACTTCATCTTTGCCTTTCGGGCGCCTCGAGTCGTACCTCGGGCGACCCGCCCCCCGAAGACTTCGCGACTCGCGGATTCGCTTCCGGTCGCCTGGCCGAAGGCGGCGGCGGCGCGCTGCAGCAGCACCGCCCCCGGCGCCTTCGGCGCCAAGCTGAGCTGCGCCTCGCGACGCGGTTTCGAGCGACGGGTTTCGACGCGGGCGGCGCGGGCCACGGGGCGGGGGGGGGGAGGGGGAGCTGATAGCAAGAGGGAAGGAACACCTCGCCGTTTTTGCGGGAAAGCCTCGGAGTTGGGAAATTGACGCTGGCAAACTACAAAAGGATTCAGCTACCCTGTCAATATATATATATATATTTATACATATATATATATATATATATTTATACATATGGTCATGAAGATTGATTGGGGACACTTTGATGGACATCATCTGGTGGGAGTCATGTCCGCTGACCACTTTTGACGTGGTTCTAACTCTTCCAAATAATAGGCATGTATGTGTATATATATGTATATACATATATACATATATATGTATGTATACGTACATGGCAGACATATGGGGTATGTCATTCTGTTGGAGTATGTACCTATTTGGGCCTTAATGTTGCGATTACAAAAAGGACCTAGGCAAGGGCTTGGATTGGGAATGAACCTAAATCAACCTGTGGGATGGTTCATGGGGTTTTGCTGTGTTTCGGCCACAACACACAGGAACGAACAAAAAACAGAACGTGGCTGGGAACCAGGTACCTAAAAACAAGAGAGCAACTTGAGTTGGAGAATGCCCAAATCTTACTTCGATGTTCGGGCAATGGATCAACAGAGAGGGGTCCGTTGCTGAGTTGTTCCAAGCCTGTATGGCTTCTTCAATTGCCCCCCAATACCAGAAGGGTATGGATAGCTGCCCTTGGATATCCGTTGTCAAGTTAGCAAGCGGTTAGCCACTTGGCTATGACCTACCAACAGGGATAAGCTCCACTAGGCTTGGCCGAACACCCAAGAACGACGGGGTGTTTTGAATCGAGCTCATTTGGCTGTGGGTCAAAATCCCATACCCCGAGTGAAAATCCCCATCCCCACCAAAATAGACCAAAATGTGTGGTGCACCTACCCCAAAATGGTACCATTGGTCTTGACATACAGCCATTTTCAGCCGCCCTCAGACCTTCGAGTTTTGCGAAAAAGGCTTCAACCAAACTGCCAGCCCCTCCCATCCAGCTGCCAACTTCCTTTTTCCCCCTTGCGAGCTTGGCCCGTTCGGTCCCTGCGCCGCTGCCACTGTTGCTTCTCCTCAACGAGCTGACCACCCGACTCTCCCTGTCTCTATCTCTCTCTCTCTCTCTCTCTCTCTCTTCCTCACCTTCTCTGCCTCTCTCCCTGTCCAACTGCTCTCTGTCTCTCTATCTCTCTCTCTAACTGTTCGCTCTCTGCATCACTCTCCATCTCTGCTTCTCTCGCTCGCTCTTTGTGACTCTTGCATTTGATCTCTCTCTCTCTCTCTCTCTCCTTTCTCGCTCGATTTTCTTTATATATCTGTATCCGTTGTTGCCTTTGTCTTTAATATTAGCATTATTTTCTCCTCTCCTCCTCTTCATCCTGATGATTACCTTTCTCAATTCCGCCTCTATCTCGCTCTTCTCTCTTCCTCTTTATCTTCTTATTATCTTTATATTTTTCCTTCCTCTCTCTCTCTCTCTCTCGTTTGTTTGCTGTTCTCTTTCTCACTATCTGTCTCTTCGCTCTCTCTCTCTCTCTCTCTCCCCCTCTCTCTTTCTCTCCATATCTATTCCCTCCCGGCTCGTCACCGAAATTCCACACGATTTCCTGAATGGAGGGGTATTTGCTTGAGTGTGCTTGTCTACTTGATTCGGCAAGTTGGTTCTTTCCCCGAAAGGAAGGTTATTTCAGTTCTAATGGGTTTTGTAGACTTCATGTTGATCTGATATGATCCATATGCGCGCAAAAAAGGGTGCACGATCCCTTTGCCTTGAATGAATCCCGATCTCCGCTCCCGCATTGCTTTGGCTAAGTAACGTTTGGGACAGGTTGGAACTTCTGATTCCGTCCCCAGAAAGAATCAATGAGTTCAAAAGAGACATGAGAGGAACCACCGAGGACAAGCATGATATAGAACAACAGCAAGTTGAGGAATGCCACCCGTAGCACTTGAATGGACTACGGGAGGGTTTCACAAATGTGAAGCCATTGTTTCTTGAATATTCCTGGTTGCTTAGATAGAAGGACAATGATGTTCAGGCAGATCCCCTGTGTGCAGCAAAAGGAACCCACCACACTTCAAGTCTGTTCTGAGGGGCCGAAACGTTAAAACTCAGTTGCAACCAAAGTTGAGAATGAGCTCGAGTACGAGCTTGAGAGGGCTGGGTCTAGCGAACCGTCAAACTATCCGTAAGGGTAGCCCCATGATTCTGAACAATATCCCATGTTTCAGGGTGCACTTCTACAGATTAACGCGCAACCCAAAAAACCACGCCAGTCTTGTGATCCGCATCTCCTCTTGGAAAATGGATCCCTTGTTTGAGTGCCTTCATTGAATTAGTAGGCGAGTAGTTTCAGGACCCAGCTGGTCCAAACGAGCGGAATCCCTATGTTGAGATATGCGGCCTGTGGTCAAATTTCCTTATATGGCCCGTGGTTGTGGTTCCCTTAGGAATCATACAACGGTTCAGGATCCTTACACGGTGCATGACCATCTGTGTGAAACCAAGCAAAGGAACTGGTCTAAAAGACCACGGCACAATGTGGGGGGGGGGAGACCACGGCACAATGTGGGGCGTGGCAAAAAAAAACAAAAATATAGATATCCGTTGTCCTCTTGGTTCCCACCTTAAAACCACCCAACCAAAAAACGGGCGACCACCCACAAAAAAGTACCGACCCATGTAGGGAACCCCGAAAAAGAGGTCGCCACTCTAAAAAAAGGCGACATGACAGGCCCATGAACCACCTTGGTTTTTCCCTTTAACAGCACCGCCCCCCCCCCTCCCCCCCCCCTTCCCCCCCCCAAGAACCACCTTGGCTTCCCTTTAAAAGCACCGCCCCCTCCTCCCTTCCCCAAAACCCCCCCAGTTCCGCCTCCCGCTCCAACCCGCTCCACCAACCTCCACGAGGCGCCAGGCGCAGCACCGCCATGGCCTCGAGGCGCTTCTTCTCGCGGCGCGGCATGCGCTGGAAGTGGGTCTCCAGCTCCATGAGCCCCGGGCGGGCGATCTCCAGGCCTTCGCCTCTCCATCGCGGCTCTTGGGGGGGGAAGGGGGGGGGGGGCGGTGCTGGTAAAGGGAAAAATCAAGGTGGTTCGTGGGCCTGTCATGTCGCCTTTTTGTTTAGTGGCGACCTCTTTTTCGGGGTTCCCTGCATGGGTCGGTCCTTTTTTTTTGGTTGGGTGAGCTTAAAAGGGAACCCTTCCCATAAAAAGAGGAGACAAGGGCGGCATTGGGCAACTGCGGGTTTATGGAGGTGGTCCGTCAACGGGGGAATGGTTTGGTAGAATTGGTTGCTCTCGTTGCTTGTGTTTTTTTTGGGGGGAAGGATGGTGCTGTTTTTTTTGATTATGGAAGGGTGGGCTGTCGAGAGGCAACCAAGAAGAAGCACAAGATGATGATGTGTTTGTTTGTTTTCTGGGATGGTCTGTCAACAGGGCTATTTTTTCTCTATGTTTTTTTTTGTGTGTGTGTGTGGTCTTGTTGCAGTAGTTGTTTTACAGACCGCCTTTTTTCGGGCGGTGGTCTGGCGACGGGGTGAAACGACATGGTTTCGGCGGTGAGACTGTGTACTGGGATGGTCCGTTCTGGGTAAGAATGGTGGGACATCCCCTTTGTTCTCCCAGAATGGTGGCTCCCGATCTGGCTTTTTGGCCCACCCTATCACTCCCCTCCCAAGTAACGGAGGGAACCCAAAAGAGGGGTCCAAATCGGGTCTCCCGGAAAACGTGCAGGGATTTTAACCCAACCCAAGCTCACCTCCGGAGTGGCCAAAACACGTCACCACTGCGGCTTTCAAACCCCCACAACCTCAAGTGAGTACCTCTTCGATTCAGACCCGGCGACCGGACAAGTGATTCCGGGCTGCAGTCGAGTGCTTGGGGCGGTTGCTTGGGGTTCTTGAGCCTGGCAGGTTTAGGGGTCCCTGGCATCTTCCCCCAAGCTTCTGAGGTCAGGAGTTCCCATAGGTGGGGATCCCCAAACCTTTTCCGATTTTTCTTTGGGGGGAAGGGGCAAGCAGCAAAAGCGCCAATGACCAATTCAAGTAAAACATAGAGACCCGGTGCTGAACATCACCCCCAAGCTCACTAAACATGGTTTGCAGAAGGTGGAGGAAACCCGCCGAAGGAAGATATGGGTGTCTTTTTCGAGGCCGTCACACTGTTTTTAAAGGCAGCCCAAAAGGACGCACACTAGTTTTGGCGTCCCTGATTTTGAGGCACATCCATATCCGTGTCCCATTCGCAGATTCCCCTCGATCGAATGGCAAACCGAGGACGTATGGAACCAAATATCCTTAATTGTAAAACCATTGATTCCTTGTTCGCACGGTTTTGCGCTTGGATGTCTTGTCCAAATGGGAACATCCTATCGTAGCTTAAGCCGGTTTTCCCCCGCAACAGTTGGGTCATAGTCGGTTAGGTTAATGTCACATGGCTTGGACACTAGGAACTTACTTAAAATGGCCCCGGTGTGTGATTCAATACAAGTGTTAAAGCATCCGAAACGATAAATATTTGTTGACCGCTCCTCCGGTGGATTGTTCATTGAACATGAAGGTCCCTACATAGATGTGTCGCACAATGAGTCATAATGAGTCGACCAAATAAATGGTGTCCTCTTAAACCCAGCAAAACGCAGCGCGCCCGAAAAACATGATACCTACTTAGGTGTTCGGCCAAGGTAATCTAGTGGCAAACTAACCCACTTAAAAGTCACCCATATTTCCCGTCTAAGTTTATACATCACCTTGGCCAACTTGTGGCTGAACTTCCTTTTGTGTAAGATGGAGACACAGGACCCCCCCCAAGCAGGTGTTCATGTGTTTTTCTACAAAGCTGGGATGAAAAGAGCAACTGCAGAACGAAACAGGTGTGTCTTTTACTAGGAGAACCCCGCTTGCGGTAGTTCCAGAGTTCAAACCAAAAGGAAATCACTCTTTTTGGGGAGTCCAACCCGCGAAAAAGACACGTCCAACCGGACACAAGCACCCGGCAAACAGGAGAAAAAAAACCACCGGAGCGAGGAGAAAGGCCGCCGTCCCAGTGCGGCCTTCCCCGTGCTGCAGCATCAAGGCAGCGATCTCGCACTCCTCGAAGAAGATGCGCTTGGCCTTCGGCACGGCCATCTCACTTCCCGAATGGACCCCTAGAGGGGGCTATGGGGCTGGGGGGGGGGGGGCTATGGGGCTATGGGGCTATGGGGCTATTGGGCTATGGGGCTAGAGAGGGGGGCTGGGGGGGGGGGGCTATGGGGCTATGGGGTCAGGGGAGGGGGGTATTAGTTTACCTCGAAATGAAGGCAAAAATCACCGGGACCCTGTTTCACAACAACCACAACAGGCATCAGATCGCCGTCGAATTTACTTCCGCAACCGGGATAGGCGTCTCTGCCAAAGACGGGTTTGTCTGACCCCGTACTTTGGACGGCTTTTGAAGTGCTCTTTCAGTCTTTGTGGCGGAATCAACAAGTCACAATCACAATCAGTCGGATTAATTGGAGCCTTGTTTAAGCAACTTATCCACTTTCCAAATTGGACATCCACTGGACCAAAAGTCTGTTCGATCAAATTCGGCGTGCACAAACCCCCTTTGAGAATGTAATCACCTTGGGTCGGGGCTCACCCAAACCGCGGGAACGCCCAAGGGACCCGGACAACAAACAAGCCTTCAATAATTCAGCCATGGCGAAAAATTGGCCCACATCTAGAATCCACCAAAAAGATGCATATGTTCTGATTCTGCTTCATAGTCCTATCATCAATGTATATGACATACTTAACTTTTGGGAAGACACCCCGGAGATTCGATGTGTGGAACCGCCGCGCCTCCCGCTCCAAGGGATCGATGCACAAACACCGCCACTTCTTCGCGCTACGCTGGCGACAGGCGCGGCACACGTAGCCCACCTGGCCAATGGGCTCCCCTCCGTCGCTTTTCTTGCCCAGAGGCTCCCGACTGGGCCTTCAACAGGGATACACCTGAACATTGCCTTGTAAATGGTGGTTCCAACTTTACTTTGATGGAAAAAGCAACATGTTTCACATGGGCAACATGTGTCTTTTAAGGAGCCCTGTTCCAACAACCTGGTTTTGAGACCAGGGTGTCTCACGGAGGGTCGGGTCTTCCATTCAAAGCCCCAGGGGCCTCTGGGTGAGCTGTCCGTTTTCAGATCACCCGCTAAAAGTTTTTGGCTTTTAGTGGGGTTACACGGAAATCCCACCAAACACTAAGAAGATCTAAAAAGCTAAGGGGATGGAGCCACCAAGCTGCTTGGCGAGGGGGATCATCAAAGCAAGTGCCTGGACCACTCCAGGCAAGTGGTCAATACTCCCAGTGTGGGGGCCATCCCAAAATTGGGACTTTTCAGTGGTCGTCCATGATGTGCGGTGGAGTCCGACTACAATACTCAAAGGGGCAGGATCCAGGTTCAATGGTTATAACCAGGGCTGCTGACCGCTTACTGAGTGTGCCCTTTAAACCAAGGGTCATCAAGCCCCGCGGCCCTCGGGGTAAAAAATTGAAATAAAGTGAACCAACTACCTCGAACTACAAACGCTTATGACACGGACCTGTCCCTTGTTCCCCTACCTGCCATATTGAGGGGACCAACTAACCATACCACGGAGTACAGTGGAGGCCCTCAACACCAATTACAGCGACCACATAAAGCCTTTTCACTGTATTATTGCAAACACTTCCCCCCTCCCCCCCCCCACAACTCCAGAGAAATCTTAGAACTTGCTGACCGAAGGGGTTCTGCTCCAAGTTTCAATCGTGCTGGGAAACATTCTGCTGGGTGGGCCTACATCTTTTCGCCCGAGTGGAGAGCCGAAAACTGGCAATTGGCAGCAATTGGCAGCAATTGGAGGCAGCTAGAGGCAACTGGAGCCAACTGGAGGCAACCGGAGGCAACTGGCGTCGATTTGCCTCGACGAATTCGGATTTGTAGGACCGCTGTAGATTGACGCACCGCCCGCACCTTCAGCACGCCGTCCTCCGGAGGCTTCGCACTTCGGCCTACATTTGCTCAGCTTCTTTCTTGGCGGTTTGGTGTTTCGGGGGGTAAGAACCAGGGGTTCGAGCCGACCAGCCAATCCAAACCACCAACTGGGGGGTTACCTGATGTGAGGTCTGCAAAAAAAGCACACAAACCCTTGAGCGACGCACCCCAAAGCCAGGATCAACACCCAAACATCAGAAACACGCGAGATACCCAAAAGGGAAATCTGGGTATGCCCGGCCCCTGAGCAATCCGAAGAGAGAGGTCACTAAAGTCGGTCATCAAAAAAGAGGATACCCACAACAAAATCACAAAGGATGGCTTAACTACTGCGCTCCCTTAAACTTCGGTGTGCCCCAAATCGAGGCACAAGGGAAAGGATACACGGACTGATGCTACGCTGGATGCCCTAAAGCAAATGGCAAACCAGCAACAACGATTTTACATTTCCTTCCAAAAAACCAGCTGGAAGGGAATCCCCTTTTGGGGTTGGTTGAACACTGCCCATTTTGGAGGGATGCCTCCATTTCAAGACGAACCCTGAAAGCACAACAAAGATTCTTCCATTTGCTCAAGTTGCCTGAAAAAAAGAAAGTATTTCCAATAATGATAGATTCCCTTTACTACCAACAAGGGGAAATAAAACATTTTGTTTCAGCAAATGGAAGGAACTTTGTGGAGGCCTTGACGCGTGGGAGATATAGGGGCTCGACCTGAGAAGATGGTTCGAATAACGAGCTAAACTTGGGTGCTGTTGACCCCTCTGCAAAAAAGTATAAGGAGTTGTGTCTTGAATGCAGAAAACCCCCTGACTTCAACCAACAAGGTTTAAGATTCAAGATCCAACCCAATAGCAATCTTTAGATCATTGCGCGCAGTTCTTTAGGATTGTTGCTCTTGGCTCTGGTTTCAAAGTGCCCCATGTCCTGACTGGGCCTTAGTAACAATGCAGGGTTGGCCAATCCTACTCCATGATCCCTAGAGAATCACTAAGGGCACATCCTACTCCAGGAACCACAAAACCGGCGGCTTTGGTTTTGGTCAGGGCGCGCAGAAAGACGACTCCGCAGTTGGACACGGTGTTCTTCCAGACCGGACAGCCACGAGTGGTGCAAAGGTCTCCTGCAAATGCAAGCAGCCCATCCGGGACCTAGCTGGGGCTTCGTTGTCAAGTTGTCAAGCTGGGTAACCCACTTTCGGGTCCCTTCCGTGGAGTTTGTCCTGTCCGTCAGGCAGCTAGACCGTAAGCGGCGAGCTGGCTAGCAACCTCGTGACCCAAAAGCCATGAGCATCCAAGTCCCTAGCCTCTTCACTTGTTTTTTGACCTCACTGAAGGCCTCCAAACCAAACATCTTCTCCCTCCAGGCGCCAGAACTGGGGTGTGTGTTGTTACTCAATGTTTCGGAACGTTACGTAAGTTATTTGAGGTCTCTGCAGGTCTTCTGATTAAGTTGATAATGTTGGTGGGAGCTTGTTACTTAATGTTACCGAATGCTACCGCCTTATTTGAGGTGCTTGGAGGATCTTTGACACGGGTGTTGTTGGAGACCCCTCTCTTGGGGTGCCGGTCTCTCCACATGGACGCAAGGCTTCAAGGAGCTGAAGGCCCCAACCAAAGATTTAGTCGGACCCGTCTTCGGTTCAGGGAGTTTGTCTCCCACATCTGGGGAGTCAGAAAACAAGGACTAAAACGAGAATTGCAACTACCTCCGAGCATTGTGGAGAACTCATGGGTGTGGCTCCTCTTCTTGAGGGTGCCTTTTTGCTTGCTGGTGTTAAAGGGGAACAAAAGGACAACTACCAACTTTCAGGGTCCCCTATTTCGAGACAACCCATTGCTTGCAAGAATTGGCTGGTCTGTTTCGGCATTTGCTGAACGCGATGCAGTGTACATCGCTCTGTGCTTGCACCGTTTGTCTCCAATAGGCCGACCCCGCAACATTGGCATCTCTTTGGTGTCCCTTTAAACAGGTTCCCCCCCCCCCCCCCCATTCCCCGCAAACATCGGCCCGCTCCATCCCCGAAGGGAACACTCACCGGCCAAACATGTGACGCTGAGCTGGAGCCCTGCTCAAACAAGGGTCGAAAAAGCCGCGCCCATCTAAGATAGTTTCCACTGTCCCCAAACCCGCCCAAAGGTGAAACGGGGTTTAGAACCCCTTGCAATGCCGCCATACACCATTTCCCCCCCCCCCAGAGCAAAAGGCCCTGCCAGGACCTTTTGGGTTCACAAAATGGCTTCTCCATTAAACCTACTTGGGTGTTCGTTGCCAAATTATTGTTGGTAGCCTAGGTTCTAACCAACCTATGAGCCTCCTGAAGTGCGGTTCACCCAGACATTGGGTTATAATCCAGGCCTACCAGGTGGCTATCCTCTTGCTATCCACTTGCTATCCACTTGAAGTAGGGTGATCCACTCCATTTTTGCCTTTTCATTCAGGGGCCCCGACCTCTTGGAGCAACGGCCAAAAAAAGCGGCGCGCCGAAAACGGGAGGGACTGGAGCTCCTGACTTGTCCCGCTTCTGATCCGACAAGGAGGGCAGCCGCACGTAGCCGAAGAAGCGCTGCTCCAGCCGCAGCAGCGCTCGCTGCCTCGGATCGAGGATCGATCCAAATCCGAGTCCCGGCAGCTAGCCAGAGCTCTAAGGGTACCTGTCCCATTCTTTCCACTGATCCTTCTTTCTGAAAACCTCCTTTGAAACCCAGGGAACACGGATCCGGTGATTGAAAAGAACGATGGTTGAAAAGAAGGGGGAATCCGCCCCTAGCCATAGCTTTGTGGTCTCCACGGCGTGAGCAGTTCGGGACTTGTGGTATTCGGGGGGAGATGCATCCGCTCCAACTTTGGCCAGGTCTTCTGTCCGAGTAACATGTGCGGTACTAGCCATAAAAAGGGGACTCACACAATTTTCACGGGCAACTTGAGGGAGGTTGTCGATTTTAGAGAATGACAGACAACGAGACCGGGTTTTGGGAATGGACCTTTTGCGGGGGTTCCCGACAAAAGGGAACCAAATCGGGGATTGTTCTTCTTGGTCCCTCATGACTCGAGACTAGGCGAGCTTTTTTTTGAAAAATCGATGGCACTGGCAAATGGAACAAAATCAATCTAAGCCAGCCTCGGTGGCTTTCTGCTTCCCTGCTAAAAGTTTAACCTTAGTGTTGTTTTTTGTGGAAAACCCATTAGTTGGCAAAAAGTTAACGTCCTAACAGCCGTTCGCAAAATGCACCAAAGCAGCGGAACCCATCGATTTCTGACCAAACTCACCTAAGGAGAGCCATGGGACCCGGTGGGGAAAAAAACCAAACAACGAGTCCGGGTGTTGGGAATGGACCGTTTGGGGTTTCCCAAATAAAGGAAACGCTGTTAGATCATCGGTCAACTCAAAGCCCTTAAGTCTCAACCCATGGCTCCGTTTGCAAGATTTTGGTGAGTCTGCCCCATGACAGTAGAGGCTGACCCTTGCTCACATCTCTGTTGCTTTCTGCTCCCCTGCTACAAGTTTAACTTTTAGTGGCTTTATTCATGGAAAACCCAGTTGGCAAAAAGTTAACGTCCCAACAGCCAAGCAAAATGCACCAAAGACATGACATTCCCAAGTTGTGGCATAAGTTTGGGTAAGGAACACCAGCTCCAAGACTGGAAGCGAACGAATCGGTTGAAAGGGAACGGCGGGCCATTTCCGCTTGTACGTTTAGGCACCTTTTTTCAGTTGCCCAAAGACCCACAAGTAAAAGGTTAACCCTGCGGTTCACACCACCATCTACAACAATGGGGGCTACTATAACACGATCATTTACCTAAGGCGTTGCTTCATCCAAATTGGGTCAACCATTCTTTTGCTGGGGTTTGAACCCCAGGGGTAGCCTTTTGGGGGGCCACATGGGGCCACTGAGCTTCCACCCCTTTCCGGTGGGTCAGGAGAGCATTGTGAACCCCCTTCAGGCCACGTTCGGTCGACGCTTGGGATGGCCCAAAACCTCCCTGCCAACGGCAGTGAGCAGCGACCCTTGCAAAACAATAAATACATCAACAACAACCATCCAGAAAACCAAGGCCCTCCCATGTTTGTGAGGGTCAAAACCTTACCACGCGACCCCCAGAAATTCGGGAACCCAATGGAACCCAACGAACCAAAGGCTCACTCGAGGCCTTCATTTCCGGAGGGGTCATGAAGATCTGTCTACCCGACTTAGCTCGCAGTGGTGAGAAACGTGGCCTCGGTGCTCTTTCCGCTTTTGGTTTGTTTGTTGGGGGGGGGGAGAAATCACATCGACAAAGAAGTAGCTCTTTGGAGAAAAGGTGGAGATTGCATCTCCTCTCGAAATCTTATAAATTGGAGAACTTTCGAAGTAATGATCGGAACGAATCAGACAGCAGCTTTCGAACACAGTTTTGGACCCGCCCTTGTAGGATGTCCACAGAGTGCCAAACACGCTGGAATTCACAAACAGCACGATCCAAACCGTTTGAGAGAAAATGACCATGGGGATGTTGCCCTTGCCTCTGGGTGTGATGTTTTTTTTTCCGTTTTCAGGGTACTTTGTTGGAGGGTCCAGGCAGGGTCTGAGTGTTTTATGCCAAATGGCGGAGGCCCCTTTTCGTGTGTATTTAAAGACCGAAAGGCACCAACCATTGTGTTTTTTTTTTGGGGGGGCATTTGGGAAAAATCAGCAGGCATTCAGAGAAACAAAACAACCGGCCAACCTTGTTTCTTTTCTTTCTTGGGAGGCATTCTGAGAAATAAAAACAAACACCCACCTCGAATATGTGTCTCCGAGTATCGATTTCGATAAATTTGGGGAGGGGGAGGGGGGGAAGGCATTTGGAGACCTGGAGACCCCCGGAAGGAGCCCCCCCCAGGCCAAGGCACGCCTCGTTTTGGTGGCCCTGGCCCCCGAGAGACGCGGAGATGCCGCCCTTGTTGGTGTCGAAGGCCCCTGCGATCCGAAGTTGGGGGAAATCAAAACATCCCGAAGGGTACTTACTTCCTGAGTTGATGGGCCAAAAAAAGTTCAAACTTTCTGTTTACCACTAAAATGGTCTTCCCAAAAAGTTTAAAGTCCAGGAACTCAGGGAGTGAGGGTACCTTCCCCCTTCTTTCCAATCCTTGTTTCTAGAAAACCTGCGGCAAGGGAAAGCGGATCCGGTTGTTGAAGAGAACAATGGTTGTAAAGAATGGGGAATCAAGCCCTAGAACATCAGACTCAGCCTTGCTCACATGATCTTGGTTGACGTTAGACGGGGAGCAAACAATTAAACTTTAGCGGTTAAGTGGGATTTCCCACTAAACCACAATAAGCAAAAATGCAAAATGTTTCGCAACAACTACCATGTCATGGACCCTCCGGGGGGAAGGGGGGGGGGAACTCCCTTATGAACCCCACAAGACCTTCTTACGGGATTGACACCTTTGGGCTTCCAAAACACGGATTCTGTCTGTATTGCAGCCCCCAAACCTAATGAACAGAACCGAAAACACTAAGAAAAAATGATCCGAGAACAGTGAAGGTTCGTAACCCGCTTTGAGAGGAGCATCGGGAGACATCTGGTATCCTTTCTATTCTCTTTTTCTGGAACCGATTCCCTTTCAAAGCCACTACCCCAAGAATCAGTTGACTCCATAGGGCCTCTAGATCTCCAAAAATGGCCGTTTGCCGATGACCCGAGATTCGGCTGAGGAACAAGAACTTGTTTGGTGGAGGCTTCTCCCCAGGAAGCCAAAGAGCAAACCACCGCCCAGCACCCTCCGACTACTGCCCAGGGGGCAGTAGATAGAAATTTCCCAAAAACGTCGGTGAATTATTTTATTTGCGAGATGCCCAGAGTCTAACTACTGCTAGCTACTGCTTACAACGGGGAGATGCCATAGCAGGGGTGGTAGTAATCAAGGGGCGGCAACAAGTGCAGCAAGCGCTTCACAGCGTGTCACCTGGCGTGTCACCCCGTGTCGCCCCCGTGTCGCCCGTGTCACCCCCGTGTCAGTATGTCGCCCCGTGTCACCTGCGTGTCACCCTGTGTCGCCCCCGTGTCGCCCCTCACCTGCGTGTCACCCAGTGTCACCACGTGTCACCTGCGTCTCACCCCGTGTCGCCTGCGTGTCACCCCGTGTCACCGTGTCAATTCGTGGGCTTGTCTTTTACTGTTCGGGACAACGTGAAACGACCGTAGATAGGGGATCTACTGTCTTTTATTTTATTTTCGGAAGTACTGCCAAATTCCGGTAGTTCCGAAAATAAAATTTAGACGGTAGTCGGACGGTGCTGGGCACAAATCCTATTTTGGGATGCACCCACTTCTGCCAAGCGCCGCGACGGGATGTTTCTCGGCTCTGCACTTTCCCTCCCAAAAATAAACCCAAGAGTATTTTTTGACCAGGTCACTGACCCACAGGACATGCAATGGCCGCAGCTAAGGAGATACTTGAATTCCGCCCAAACAAGGCTCTGCTGGAGCAATCGTTTAGAAATAGATTCAGCCCAGTTTGGTTAACCCTCCCCCCCGAAACACGTTCGATATCCCAGATACAGGGACCAACGGCCAGGTGTGGGCCTTCCCCCATGTTTCAAGACAGGAATCGGCCCAAATGGTTGGCTTTCAATTGGTGTTCCTTCAAAACGAAAACGGGCTACCCTCAAAGAAAGACGATAAGCCCAAAGCAAACCCAAATAAGGGAGTACCCCTTGGTCCCCACCCTCACAAACGGGAAATCTGCTTCCCGCAAACACCCAAAAACGCATGGCTATGGGTCAAAACCCCGGTTAGCCCCCAGTGAACATCCCAAATCCCCACTAAATAGGTTCTAAAATGGGTGGTGAATTCACCTACCCCAAAATGGTACCTTTGGTGTTGACCCACAGCCATATGGACCCCCCTTTTTTTCGACCCCGAATTGGTGGTGAATTCACCTGTTCCAAACTGGGATGCCAAAACGGTGTTGACAACCACGGCATCCCGGGCCCCAAAGCCGCCCCAAAGCCGCGCCGCGTAGCTCCGCGTGGCGTTCGTGTGCCGTGCCTGGCTTGTGGCTCTTCTTGCACACGAGGTGCCCGAAACGGATCACCACGCGGTCCCGGTCCCAGTACCGCAGCGAGCGCTCCAAGTCGTCCTTCCGGCGGGGAGAAAAAACAAAAACGAGAGCTCAGGAGGGTGTGGCTCAAGATTAAAGAGCTAGGGTGACGCAGGTTGTAGTTTTTAGTTCATTTACCAAGGTGCCATTGTACATTTATTTGAGCCACAGCCATATGTGCGTACGAACGTAAAGGACATGCAGCTTTTAGAGGGGGCCTATCCATAATGGGTTTGTCGCAAAATGGATTTTACCCCCCCCCCACAAAAAAAAATGGTAGTTTTCTCTGGCTTCCCTTTAATTAACATACTCCCCGAAAAAGGCCACCCTCAAAGCAAGGCACTCATATCCACGCCAAAAGCAAACAACTCAGTTGCTGATCGTGTTGGATTGTGGTGTTTTCCGCTGCTTCACTTCGTGGAGTGTCCCTTCCCTCACAAATCAAGTCATGAGCCCATTTGTGGTCCGCTCCATGCTGTTTGATCAACAACGAATCAGACTTAGACCGTCCTTGCAGAGCCTTTTGGTCCGGATGCCTCTATTTGTTTGTCCGCCGATATCAGGGAGAACCTTGGTGGTCGCAAGCATCCGGGTCCGAGGTCGAAACTATTTGCTCAGAATACTTGCTTGGAGCCAACTAGCAACTGGGTCACAAATAAGCCGTAGTCATATCTATGTTAGTAGTCATATATGTTAGCAGTCATGTATGTTCACATATGCTAGCAGTCATATGTGTTGCAATTGCTGTTGCTGTTGCTGTTGCTGCTGCTGCTGCTGCTGCTGCTGCTGCTGCTGCTGCTGCTGCTGCTGCTTTTTCTATTTGGCTGCACGTGACAGGATGTATATATGCCATCATGTAGAAACGATGAAACCATGTAACAAATTCAATCAACATTGCCAGCCAATGGTTGTCACAAGACGCAACAAAAACACAAAGTTTCAAAGGGCAAGGAAGGTCGACTGGACTCTGCAACCTGGCATGCGGTCCACAAGAAAAGAAAGGCAAACATAGACGTGCGCTGTTGCTTTCACAAGGAAACGCTTGGTCCAAAAGGGCCCCAAAACACAATGATGGTTGTCCAAAGGAAATGTTGGACGTCCGCAAAAGATGAAACCACAAATCTAAAAGAAATGAGCGCCATTCCCGCAATGGTTCCGTAAGCATAGAGTCTGAAGGCCAAGCGCGTAAGTGTTTAGTAATTCTCACACAGAGCGAGACATACACGCAAACATGTATATATGTGTATATGTGAATATACAAATGAATATAGCTGTATGTGAATATAATGTAAATATGTACATATACATATACATATGCTATTCTAAATATATATATACGTTTGTATTGTACATAGCTTCTTGGACCCACACGTTCGGCACACCCATCTCCTTCACTTGGCCGTGCTGGGTGTAGAGCTCCTTCTCGTGCAAGCACACAAAGCCAAAGAAAGCCCCGTAGACCAAGCCCAGCTTGGTGTTCACCTCCTCATGTACGACCAGAGGATGAATCTATGTCTAAACCACCCCTCCCCCCACCCAGAAAAAAAGACCAAACAAAAAAAAAAACAAAAAACAGGGAACCCTTGAAAACCAGGGGATTGAAAAGAAACAACAACGAAAAAGCAGGGAACAATGGAAAACCAAGGGTTTGAAACGCAAATCTAAAACCCATCCGATCCTTTGAGCGCGGACTTGCAGCTGGGGCTCTGTGCTGTTCTGCACGAAGACCACGTTGTGGGTGGGCGAAATCCCCCACCTCGGGATTCGCTGGGCCAATAGGCCAAGTGTGCTCCAGTAGAGAGGTTAGAATAAGGATACCCTTTTCCTGTAGTCTATTTTTAGATGGGGAACCCTCCCCCCAAGAAAGAAACGGTAAAAGAGCACTACGGTAGGGGATGCGACAGGTAGGGGATGAGAAACTTCCATTCGGGTAAGACCCCTGGGAGAAATGAACATATTGCCATATTGCCATTGATAAATTGCTTTCAATACCAACAAGGGAAGACAAAACATATTCTTAAGCAAATGGAAGGAAATGGAATGATCCCTAGGAAAACCGGAACGGTCATCCCCTACTGACTAAGATGAGAAGGTGAATTTTCTGCCAACAGCTGGAAGCCATGGATTTGGTCTCTGCGCGGTTAAGCTTTTAAGGGAGTTCCAGTAACTTCCACGCAATTTCGGGGCTGTTGGGGATCACATCCTGGAAGACTATATTTCCGCCAGTGAGTTTTCCATGTTGGTGAACCAAAGCATGCCAGACGTGAGTTTTCCATGTTGGTGAACCAAAGGATGCCAGAAAACTGGGTTCTGAAGATTGTTTGGAACTCTAACAAACGAGCCATAGAGCAAACCTCCTTTCGGCAGCGAAACAAGAAGCGCTGCGACGAGCGAAGGAGGATAGCCTGATGCTTTTCCCCTGCATAAAGAACACTCTGAGACCAGAAGCCACTGACCCGGCAGCCCCAAAATGCGCAAAGGCGACGTGCAATCCTTCCACAACCCCTGAAAAACCAAACAAACCTAGCTTGCGGCCACCTCGGCTCGCCTAAGCCCCTGTTGGTCTGGCCGCCCACTGTCCGAGAAATGCCTATCTACAGCGGGGCTTCACGAGTGTCCAGCTTGAAAGGCAGTCCAGGGAGGGATCTGAAGCAGGTTTGTCTCACGCCCTTGTCTTGCGGCGGCGATTTCGGCTTCTGGACATCAACCTCGGAGTGGGGGGCTTGAGACTGGGGTTATTTCATACGGGACTTTTTGAGCCCCACTCTTCCGTCGCCGTGGCTCCCTGTAAAACCAAAAGAGGGGGTCCTGCACCACTTTGAAGCAATGATACACCATTTTTTGTTGATATTCACCTTGGGGAATCGACTCATTCCAGTATTTCTTAGGTGCGAAATGTCCAAAATGGCGCCCCATTTGGATGTTACCCCAGATCTCCGTTCTTTGGAACATGTATATCAGTCCTTTGGATACTTCGGTGCGAAATGGATGCCGCAACCATCCACACTACTTGGCCGGAACTAGGACCCCAGCAAAAAACCAGACTTTTTATGCCTGGCTAATGGAAAGCATGTTTTGCCTGGCTATAGTGGAAAACAAAAAGGGGACCTGACCCCCCAAAAAAATACAAACAAAATCTCAAAGAGGGGGGTTAATGCGGGGGAAGCGCTCTGGCGTCACCCTCCCCAAAATGTTGAGCCAGGATTGATAAACCCGTCCCATTATTCGGGTGTTCCCTCCAAAAGTGAAAAAGTCCCCGCTAAAAGGAATTGGAAACCCCCAAAACTTCAGACACCCAATTCCCTTTGTACTTTTAGTCGGAGTGGTCCCTAAACCAACTGTGGGGCGTGGGTTGTGTCTGTCTCCAGGGATACCAAACCGAACAAAGTATGTTGACTCCCCCATGAAGCTTCATAATCAAGCAGGGGCTGCTCTTCATAGGCTTAAAGCCGACCCTCGGCGCCGCACTCGGCGCACTCTTCGAGATCCCTTTCGCCGCGGCGCAGGTGCGCGCCATAGAGCTGCATCTCCCGGCGCGCGCGCAGAAACACCGCGTCGAGGTCCGGGGGCTGTGGGGGGCCCTGGCCGTTCACCAGGTGCTGCAGGGCCAAGATGTTGTCGTCCTCGGGGAAAAAAAAAAAAAAAAAAACGCGGATGCGCCGCGGTTTGTGGGCTCAGGGTTCAAACCGCCAAGACAACGGGCATGTGTCCATTTACCGGGGGTCCATTTTGGGTACATAGTTTTGTCCCGCAGCCATATAACCACGACTATGTTTGCCTAAAGAGTGTCATCATCAAAATTGGGTCACCAATTAATTTTAACAGGGGCAAGGAACCCCAGGGTGCTCTTTCGGTGGAACAAGTGAGGAACATGAGGAACACCAGAACTGAACACCATGCTTTTGGTGGTGAAAAGCGGCTAAACTCACTCCCGATCAAGTGGATTGGCAAAAAGGAAGGAAACAAACTGTTGGTTTACCGCTAAGATGGTCTTCCTAAAAAGTGACTAAAGTCCGGGAACTCAGGGAGTGAGGGTCACGGGACCCAACAAAACGGCCCAGGAATGTGACTCTGTTTCATATTCAGCCTGCGCAAAAACATCTCCTAGCTCTGGAGACGTTCGATCTGAGGGACTTGCGGGATCACTTTTGATTCGTGCTAATTGGCTTTGAAAGCAGGGTGGGACGGCTCCCGGGAGCCCATGGCTTACACCAAATGGGTACGCGTTTATCGCGGACCCAGACAGGCGGACATCAGAAAAGGTGGAGATACATGTCCCACTTCTCAGGTGGTTCCCTCTTAACATTCATTGCCAAGTGGAGTTCAAAGGCGGACGCGACACAGAACCCATGCTCTTGGGGCTTTAGAGGGACTTGCCCCTCAAATCAAAAGGAGAAACACCGAAGCGCCACAATGGTTCCTCGGATTTGCTCTGGATTTAGACGACCGCAACCCTGTTCTCGGAACTTTAATGTGGGTGGTCTTCGTATAGGGGACCCCCCCAGAAAAAAATCCCCCTTGGCTCCCCTGGTTTCCCTCTAAGGTTGCTTACTTCAGCACCCGCTTTGGGATTTGCTTACTTCAGAACCCTTCATGGCTCAAAGGGCTGCTTGCGGGCTCGCTGAGTGATGTCGAGAACTCCTTGGATGGTGCTGCGGGTAATTGTGAAGGCAACCAACAGCCCCACAAGCCACCCCCCCAGAAGGAATGATTCTGGTTCAAAGGGTTGCTTACGGATTTGCTGGTTGAGGGGAAGCCCCTGTTGGCTTAACCCGAAACAAGTCCCCTTTCAAAGACAGCCCCCTTTCAAAAGTGTCCCTCGGAAAATGGAGAACCACGACACAAAAACTACTTAAGCAAAAAAACAACACCATGTCACGACCCTTCTTGAAGTTGCGCTCGGACAACCCAACAAAAGCCATGAGCCGACCCACCTCCGTCTTTCTCCGCCCTTACGCCAAGGCGGCACACACTACCACGTGCTGGCCCCGTGGGAAGCATTCCTCAATGAAGCGCACCTACGCATTCCGAGGCGCCAGTGCGAACGCGCGAGTTGGCTCCCCTCTCCTTTGGGGGACTCGGAACCCGAAACCACTCAGGTTCATTCCACGAATTTTCAATACTATTTGTGTTGTCTGTATGTCACGATGCTTCTTTCTTATCTCGTTCTAATTGTTGCATGTGCATTCAACTCTCCGTCCCTAACTAAAAGTGAACAACTTTCAGATGTCGTAAACTCCTCTCAACTCCAAACATCTGAAACACCTTTCTGGGTATGGCTAGGAACTGCCCATTGCCAAACACAAAAAGGGAAAAAACAAAAACACAACCACAAAAAACAAGTGCCCGCCTTTTTGGAATGATGCCCCCTTCTTGGCTTCGACAACGCACCCGACAAAAAAACTAGGTCCTCCAGTGGAGAGGTTAGAATAAGGGTACCCTTTTTTTCTGTAGTCTATTTTAGTAGGGTGGAATTCTCCTCCCTCAAAAAGTTACGGTGAAAGGGCACTACTAAGACTCTAACGAACACTTCCCCATTCCTTCCAGGGATCCTTCTTTCCAGAAAACCGCCAAACACCCTGGGGAAACGGATCCGGTTTTTGAAAAGAAGGATGGCTGAAAAGAATACGGAAAAGGAATCAACCCCTTTTCGCATTCCGTGTTTTACCAGTGGTGCAAGATTTCGTCCATCCACAGTAGGGGACCTAGACAAACGCTAAGACAAACACCTGGAGGTCAGCGCCGCGCACGCCCACGATGACGCGGTCCATGAGCTCGCCCAGCGCGCGCGCGTAGCCTGGAACGGGTTTCAGGGTGCTGCTCCAGGCTCCGTAGCCCTGTTTTGGTTGGTTTGAAAGGGAAACCAAAAGGAAAGCAACCATGTTTGTCCCCCAAAAGAAGGGCTCGGTACCCTTTTGTTGTTGGTTTCAAAGCATATTTTAGTCCCCCAATAAAAGATGTCTTCCTTTTCTGTGAGGCTCGGTACCTGTTCTTGCTGGTGCTCGATAGACCGTTCCGGGTTTTGGGAAAGGACCGTTTGGGGTTTCCCTCAAAGGAAACCATATGGGACTGTTTAGGGTCATTCCCTCATTCCGTGCTTGTCAAACCAGCAAGTTTGTTGGTTGGTCTTAAAGGGAAGCCACAATGAAAACAACCATTGTCTTACCCCTTAAGACTCCAAGCCCTGGGAAGTTAATCTTTTACAGACATATACTAAAGACCGACTCGCCCACTTGGTTGACACGTTCGGCATCCCAGGACCTCGGGAAGCTTGAATCACTTCCGCCCATTGATTCCTTTCGTTTGAGCAGCGCCTGGTTCGCCTGTTTTCGGTTCTACCAGCTCCGCATGCTTAATGTTTGTATAGGTTTCACTTTTTCACCACGTACTAAAATGGCCAATGGAAATCCGTTTCGGCCCCAACAACTGGAGGGCTGTGGAAGGGAATCAATGGAAGGCCAGAGAAATGGCGAGTTGGGGACCCTGAAGCTAGGCTTCAAAGTATCACTTGAGCGGATTCCGCCAAAAGGGTCCAAACGCTTTCATGGTTAGAGTCGGGCCCAGTTATAGAATGTATATTTTCTTGTTTGCTTCACTTCAAGCCACTGGTAACATGAAAAATGTATCCTATAGGTCTACCCCAGCTTTGTTTGCTGCCAAAATGGACTGCCCCAAAAGTTCAAAGCGCAGCTTCTCAGGGTGGCAATCGTGGGGAAGTACCTGGAAGATCCAGTTCCTTTAATCTGAAGGGACCTCCGGACCCCCTGGTGCCATGTTAGTGGGAGGGAGGGTATTGGCCCCCCAAACATGGTTGGCTTGACTCCAATCCCAGCGATCGCCCGGCCCGTGATTGAACGCCCAACTCATTTGGGTGTGTTTCTGTCTTGGGGAAAAACACATTTGTTTGGTGGTTGTACAGCAAAGGGAAGCCTGTCCATTTCAGGGCTCCCCTACTTTATGACACACCCATATTTACTTATAGTTGTTGATACTTAGCCCGAAGGTGCAGGTGGGAGTTGCAACTGCTGCGATTCCACTGGCCCTCCTGTCCACACGGCACTGGCTGTGTCCTGCAAACCGAACCACTTCCCCTTCTCCCTGAAGTTGAAAGAATGGCACGGCCTCAATTTGGATGACAATCCCTAGGCCAACAATGGTGAACTCTGAACCCGGCCATTCTTTTCATGGCGGCCTGCCTGAACCGCAGAGTTCGCTTGAGGTCTGCTTCGGTTCCATGGGTTACGGGTCCGGATTTGGTACCAAACCGCTTCGGCCTCCAGACACGAAGTCGGGGTCGTCGTGCGCCACGAAGATCTTGGCCGCCGAATCAATCGGCTTGGACCGGCCAAGACTTCACCAGACTTGGGCCCCCTGCAAGTTTAACATTTTGCCAGTTGAAAGGTGTAAAATGAAAAACCAAGTCAAACATGTCAACCAAGAAAGGTGACTTAGGTCTGGCCAACCCATCCTAAGGAGACACAGAACTGGATGAGTAGGTTAGCGACCCGGCCAAAGCTGGCGATTTGCGATGCCCCTATTTTGGAAGGAACCCTGTTTGTGTTGTTCAGGGGGAACCAAGGCAACCCCGAACCCCATTTTGGCGGGCTTCTCAAGATCTCCCTAATAGGGCGAGCTCTACTCGTTGTTCCCCGAAGTTCTCTGAATGCTCGTTAAGTGACCGAAGGGACTCCAAAGGCAACCGTTCAATGTTCCACTCTGCCAGCCTGGTCGGTTCACTTGCTTCCGTGATCAATCAGCTGCACTCAACAAGGGACCTGACTAGTTGGGTTGAGTGGCCTTTGAAAAGAAACTTTGAGCAAAGAAAGGTCTTGCGCGAGCTCATGCTCCCCCCAGTAACTTTGCCCAGAGCAAACAAACTGCTCACTTCCTCAGTGGATTGTCCAGAAAAAGGAACCAAACTGTTTGTTTGCCACCAAAACGGTCTTCCCAACAGTTGTTTCAAGTCCAGGAACCCAGAGAGTGAGGTAACAAATTATCGCATTTCTAGGAGTACCTTCCGTTTCCATTCTTTCCAGGGATCCTTCTTTCTAGAAACCCCCTTTGAAACCCAGGGAAAACGGATCCGGTTTTTGGAAACACCCATGGTTGAAAAGAATACGGACAAGGAATCGGCCCCTTTTCGCCTTCCGTGTGTTCCTCGCGTTTCAAGCCCAGGAACTCAGGAGTGAGGCGCTCGGCCTCCAAACGCCTCCACCTGTGCGTCCCATTCCATCGAGTCGCGTGAACTCGCCGGCGCAGCTCGCCTTCCAACAAGCCCAACTCCTTGAGCACGGCGAGGGTCATGGCCGCGATGCCTCGGTTTTCAAGCCGCGGCTTCGCCGACCGCGGCCGGCGACTCCACGAGTCAGCTGCCTGCTGGTTGGTGGTTTGGAGCCGAATCGGTGGCTTGGTGGATGGTGGAGAGGTTTTTCAGTTACCCTCAGTTGTTCAGTGACTCGGGAAAAAAAGGGAACCCTTTTTGAGTTGGTGCCACTGAACAACTGAGCTCAACGAGTCAGCTGCCTGCTGGTTGGTGGTTTGGAGCCCGGTGCTGGTTGGTGATTGGTGCTGGTTGGTGGTTGGAGAGGTGTTCCATTTACCCGCTACAAGAACCAGGCATTCGTTCAAATCCCCAAACCACCAATCCAAACCAGCAATGGGGGGGTACCTGAAAGAGTGATTCCCTCAGAACACATCAATCCAGAGTAGTACTACCTGCTCCGACCTGGGGGATTGAGTTGCCAAATCCAAAGAACTCGCTCACTGTACCAAGGGCAGGCACCAGACATATTCGTGCCATTGACTTAGCAGTAAAGGTGGTGATCGAGCCGGTAACCTGATTGAGGGAATAGGACCATCATAAGGCTTAGCGATGAAGGAGACCGAGGATCATGGCTCACACAAGTGACAGGTTTTTTTGTTTTTGGAGTCACCTCGTTTCTTGGAGTTCTGGTATCCATTTTGGGTCTGGACTTGACCGAGTTGCCCACGTCTTGTCTATTGGTACTTGGGTCTCGGCCAAGCTAACAAGATGCTGGCAACCTGGATTGTACCCCAGTCCTAAGTTTCCATGTTGATAGTGGGTGCCAACCAAAGTGATCAGTACAGAAAAGCCCCGGACCTTCACATCTATCAGAACAGTTGTATTGGTTCATGGGTCAAAATTAGTCACCAGGAATTGGTCCGCAGGAATTTTGGTCTTTGGTTCCAACAAACCAGCGTACCCCATGTTGGGGTTATATACCCGATGTTTGACCCACCGCCATAGCCAGTCCTTCCTATCCCAATCCGAACCTAGAATGGCCGTTGTCGGAATCGGAGTTGGGCGCTGCTGAAGTCTCTCTTTCTAACTTGCCCGACCCTTAATTAGAAGTGCCCCTGACTAAGGGTAAGCCCGTTGAAGGTGGACAGTAACCCAAGTCAATGCCCAAAACCCAGTGACCTTGTGTTTCCAACATAGATGGAATGGTGCATATATATGTACATATATATATATATATGTATGTATATATATATATATATGTAGGCAGTAGGCAGTAATCCTTCATCTGGGTTATAACCCACTAAAAACAGAGTTGACTCCACTTAGGAGGACTTCTAAGTTGGCTATATTGATAACCTTGTCTAACAATAATATGGGCGTGTCTTGCTTTAGGGGACCCAAAAAGGATGTCGCTTTTTGGGACCGTCGCCTGGTGCCGCCTTTTTAAGAGGGTCCGAAAATGGGCCCCTGCGTTTGGCAAACCGCCATTTCGGCGTCGCCCTTTTTTTGGTTTCAACTTACCTAGCTGGGGAAATGGAATCGCCGGGGAACATGGCATCGCCGTTTCCGAGCGTCGCTTCTTCCACCAGGGTTCCACGAGGTTCTGCAAGGACTGCGGGGTGGGGCGAGCACCAAACAGACCGCATGCTGTTGGGGATATCACCTGAGCTTATTGCACAGAGTATAGTAGATACATCATATGTATGGATGACATTTAGGGAACATATTCTATAATTATACATGGTTTGGCCAGAATCAACCCATCTGCAAAAAGAGAGACAACTGCTTGCTCTCTCAATCGCGTGCGGAAACACAACTGCTTGCTGGTTGGAAGGGAAATGAAGAAGCGCCAAATCGACAAATCTATCGCCCAGGCGCCTCTCTGCTTCTTCCGGCCGCCGTGTCCGCTGCGCCCGAAGGTGCGCACGCAGAGATTCCACTCGGCGCCCAAGGGCGAGCGCTGGGCCACCTGGCCAGCTCTGGGGTTCATTAGTTCCATTAAAAGAATGGTTGATCCAATTTCGATGATGAAACTCGTTAGGGAAAGAACCGTGGTTATATTAACCCCCATTGCATTAAAAGGGTAGTTTGAACCCCACAGGGAACTCAGCTTCCCTCAAAGAGGCCACCGCAAAACCCAGCAAAAATTGCCCTCCGAAAAGGAACCCACATATGGCCATGGGTCAAAATCCCGTACCCCCAGTGAACATCCCAATCCCCAGTAAAATAGACTATAAAAAATGGGTGGTGCACCTACCCCAAAATGGTAGCATTGGTTTTGACCCACAGCCACATCGAAAAAAGCCTCGCTCCCAACTCACTTCCGACCGAGTGGATTGCCAAAATGCATGCTCCCAAGTCTTGTATTTACCACTAAATTGGTCGAAACCCAAAAGTGACTAAAGGCACGGAACGGAACTCAGGGAGCGAGCCAAAAGGAACACACAGAACCCACATAGAAGCCCTCGCTTGGCCAGTGGATTTTCATCCGTGTTCATGGCTTTTCTTTGGGAGTTGTGCCTTAAAATCAACTTGCCTCACAAAGGGTGGGTTGGAGATTGGTGGTTTGATGGTTGGGGGCGACTCCCCCGATTTATCCTCAAAGAAAAACCTAAAGCTCGAATCCCCAAACCAGTCCAAACCAATTAAGGGCAGCCTGAGTAACTGACGTCCTGACAGGATTGGCCGAAAGGCCAAACCTGTGGCCGAAAGTTGTCTCAAGTCCAACTCAGGAAGTCAAGGAGTGAGTAGGGCCCACTTCAATAAGGTGAAGTCTTGAGTGGGCAGCAACCTAGGCTACCAGTAAAACTTAGATCTACCTGTGGCCAACATGGGTGGTCAAGTTAGCAAGTGGCTAGCACCTGAGCAGCGCCCAAAACCGATTTCTATTCCCTGGCTTCGTGGGGGTTATGGCAAGGATGTCTGCATTTTCTTTCAGGCTCAGTTCCCTTTTTGTGGGTGGTGTTAAAGGGATCCACCAATGTTGAAGGTCCCCTACGTAAAAACAAAAAAATCCTGTCGAGCATCTGGCAAAACCGCAAACGTCTCTCACTGTCCCCTTCAGATTCCTCGGGGGCGAAGAAAACACCGGCTCACTGGAGATCGGCCAGATCTGAACGTGTTTTTTTTTTGCCAAAACAGGTCCCGAAAAGTATCGGAGGTTCAGAGAAACCGAGGCGAGCGAGTGCGAGTCTCAAACTTCCAAAGCCGGAAGGGAGCGGTCCATCCCCACTTCCCCGGCTCCGTGTCATAGAAACCAGCGAGTTGTACCGGAAACTGGGCAAACCCCACCAAACACGAGGACTTCCCCTTGGTGTTCCCTTAGGCCGCGACGTGTGTACTTGGATGTTCAAGCTACTACGAGGTCATAACTCACTAATTGACAAGCAGGTTTAACTCAACTAAACCGGGGACCTACTGGGTCAGAAGCCACGTCACTGACAACTTACTCAGCCGAACACCCAAGTTGGCAACAATGGTTCGATATATACAAAACAAAACGGCCCTGGATATTGCCACTCAGAATTGGAGTAACCCTTACCCTGTTGACCCTGGTCTGTCCTCAGATCCCTGCCAAAAGTTTAACTTTTAGTGGGTTAAATTGGACACCCAGCCACTAAACCAACAAAACACAACCGAACACCTAAGCAACCGGACGGCTGGCAAAAAGAAAGCTACCATTTCGCTCCTGTAACTACATTTGCAGGCCTAGGCGTTTTATGGCCCACTCAGTCTGCTGTTCTTGGTTGACGTTGGGTTTGGGGAGCAACATTTAAGTTTTAGCGGTGTTAAGTGGTTGGATTTCCACCACTAAACCACAATAAGCAAAACTGGGAAAAATGCTTCCCAACAACAACCATGCTTTAAGCCTTACCCGATACCAACACGAGACCTTTCCCTCCTTCACGCGCCTTCTCCCGCGCGAAGCTCAGCAGCTCCTGGACGAAGGGGTGCGCAAAGGCGGCGTCTGTGCCTCACAAACGGCAAGCAGTAAAGGACCCGGAGATATGGCTGTGGGTCAAAACCAAGAGTACCATTTTGGGGTAGGTGCAGCACCCATTTTAGTGTAATTATTTTAGTGGGATTGAATCGGATGTTCACTGGGGGTACGGTTTGGATTTTGACCCACCATATGACCCGCAAACGACGTAAGAAACATGGGGATATTGCCCAGCAACCTGGTCCCCTTCACTTTTAGTGTACCCCGTGTACCCCTAAAATATCGAAATAGTTTTGGAGGAGCCCATTTGGGAATGTTCCAGTCCCGCCACCAAACTCTTGCCACGTTCATCCAAAAGGGCTCCCCATCAGCAGAAAACCGTTGATGTGCCAAAACTACAAACTCAGAGACAAAGACCAACCCGGAATATCGTTCTCTTTGCTGGGCCAAACATAAACAAGCTGCAAAACGCTAAAAACAGTTTGCTCGTAAGGAACACGAAGGAAAACAACAAAAAAGCGTAACATCTTGGAGAAGGTAAGCCTTTTTGTCGATTTTTGTCGACGATTCCAGTGCCTCCTTTGTAGAGCTCCTCTCTGCTGGGCATCTTTGAAAGGCACGGCGGCTCCAACTCCTTCTCCGCCGGTTTCGGCGGCGGCCGCTTCGGACGCCGAGGAGGGGAGGGCGGCCTGCAGGGCCCCATGGCATTCCCGTAAAACAAAAAAAAGGTGCCCTCAACAAAAAGACACCCAAAAAATACCATGGGGGTACCTGGATTCGACCTTTTGATCGAAAAGCACAATCCACTGGGCAACTGGGGGCTTTGGTGTGGGTTTGACCTTTTTTCTTCACCCTCCAAACCCTTTTTCCACCCTTCCCTGTGTTGTCAACATGGCGGGAAAGCCCCCTCTGGCCGCTGTTTAAAGGGGAAGAAAGGACGCAAACCATTTTCAACCCTTCGCCCCTTCGTTGCGGGGTTTTCACCTCGTTTTTCCGATCGATTCCGCCTGGCGAAGGCTTTGCGCTGCTCTGCCACAGCTGCCCAAAGCCTAGGATCAGATCCATTGCCCCCAATGAAACGTGCCCCCTTCATGAAAACAATATGAAATATACTGTCATAAATATTAGTACTGTAACTACTATTGCTATGATCATGCGTGTTATCAGTGTCATGCCTGTTTTTTGTTCTATTACGTATTATTAGTATCATCATTACTATGTCTACCATCATGATCATCATGATTATGGTTCTTATTAGTATTACTATTATTATTATTATTATTCTTGTTATTCATCATCATCATCATCATCATCATCATCATCATCATCATCATCATCATCATCCTCATCCTCATCATCATCCTCATCCTCATCCTCATCCTCATCCTCATCATCCTCATCATCCTCATCATCCTCATCATCATCATCGTCACCATCACCATCATTCATCCTCATCCTCATCCTCATCCTCATCCTCATCCTCATCCTCATCATCCTCATCATTATCATCATCATCATCATCATCATCATCATCATCGTCACCATGACCATCATCATCATCATCATCATGATCATCGTCATTATTAGTAGTATCATTACTATCATTCAATTGTAATATCTGTCTTCTTAGGGGGCCTTTGTTGTCAGAAGAACGGATTAGTGGGAACCAAGGACGAAAAGTGAGTCGGGAGCTGTTGCCTGACAACCAATCACGGAAGATTGCTCTTAGCTTGATGCAAATTATTCATAACCTGAAAGTAGCGTGATCCCGAAGCAAAAGACCTTCATGGTGGGCTCGTTTTAGCCCAAGCTCGTAGCTCAAACATTTTGGCAAGTCGATTCCTTTCAGGGGACTTCGTTGGACAGTAAATGCAAGAACACTTCATCCGAAGACCTCAAGCAAAGTTTGGGGTCACTATCTGTAACATGCGCTAGCCACACAAAAGGGGAAGACACACATATTTGTTTGCCTCCCTCCCACTGTCTCCCTCTCGTTGTCTTGCTCCAAAGGGTGTGACTATTCTTGACAAATGTACATCTTTGCCACAGAGGTCTTCCACAAACGTGCCGAAGTGGCATGCATTGTGTTTTTGAGGGCACCCTGTTTGGGATTGGTTTAAAGGGAAACCCCGAAACTGCCTATATGTTTGAGTCCGCCCCCCCCCTCCCATTTTGGGACATACCCAAGTCAACTCCTCTTGAGCTCTACCTCGCAAACTGCTGGGTACTTGGGACCCAACCACAAAACCGAAAAGCACGTTTTCTTGGCTTCGACACCTCTTCTCCCCAGTTGCCTTGGAACTCGCCCCATCGAGGAAACCAACCCCAAGCCTCACTGAGGAAACAAACGTGAGGAAAATAGAACCGCCTCCCGCTTTGAAAATGGGAGGGGTCCTTCGGAGCCGTGGAGGGGAAAATTCACTGGGGTTCCAAGCTGTCCTGATTTTGACGGCTTCTGGGGTACCAGGAGGAGCTCGGGCAACCAGGCAAACATGAAAAGGGCAAGCGCAAGCTACCTGATCTCACGTCTTGAGTGGCTTCGCCAACAAGCCCGAACTTCCTTTTTACCGCTAAAATGGTCTTCCCAAAAAAGTGACTAAAGTTCCAGAACTCGGGGAGTGAGTTCTTAAAGTCACTGGGCGTGTTTCCCTTCAACCTACCACAGAGGGGCGACTTGATGCCAGAAAAACGAGATAAGCAATGCATGCCCAGGCACATCTTCTGTGACCCCGGCATCACCCGCCACTCCGCCTGGATACAAGTCATCAGACAAGAGCTCCTGCTCGGGCCGAGATCATGAGAATACTTGGAATCATTGGAATGGGGTTGCAGGGTGCCTTAAAACCAAATTTCCCCCTGATCCTCTTCCATTTGCTTAAGCCCCCTGGAACAAAAATGACAACAGTTTCAAGTAGTGATAGACTCCCCCTAAACCCAACTGGCAAAAAACAAACGCATTAAGCAAATGGAGGTCGTGAGGGGATACCATGGTAACGACTCATCGAACGGGTTTCTGACCGCACCTTCTGGCTGGGACTCACCGCATACCTCCCTTCAATTGCAACTGGGTGTTCTCGATCAAGCCCACATTTCTCGAACGACGCAAACGATAAAAAACAAAGAGCGACAACGGACCCTTCAAAAGTAAACCTGGCGCTGGCAAAGGGAACATGCGACAAACGGGAACAAAAAAGAGCAACCACTTCAGCTAAAGAGGCATGCTCAGTTGGGCACTCTGGCGAACGATTCCCACACGTGCATTCGGCAAAAAGATGCAATTCATGTAAGTGGCAGGTACTACTCTCTACCGCTGCCTGCACACAAGACACAGAAATATAAGGTTGACCAGTTGAGACCTATGGCCCAGGAAAACAAGGCCATTGGGAGAAAAAACAAGGGCACTCTTGCTTTGGTTCATGTTTCAGCCCCCCGCTTACTTGCTCAAAAAGCCTGAAAGAAGCCAAAGGTCTCACTACTTTTGGGGGGCCACACAAGGTAGATATTCCCACCATGATCATTCTTTGGGGCCACAAAGGTAGATATTCTCACAAGGTAGATATTCTCACTACTTTTGGGGCCACAAAAAGCGGATATTCCCACCATGGGCAACCCCATTTGGGCAATTTATTTTTCAGGTCCCTTCGCTGAGTGAGCCGAAGAAGCCGAGGAGGCAAGTGGGCCATGGGTCAAAATCTGAATTTCGTCCCAGTGAACATCCGCTTCAATCCAACCACTAAAACAGGTCCTTAAAAAAATGGGCGGTGAATTGATTCACCGAACACTTCCCCCAGATGGGATCAACCCATTGACGGTTTTGACACCGCCAGTCCCAGTTGCTCCAGTCCACAAAACTCCCGCCTCCACCGCCAGGCGCACGCGCTCGCGGTCCACCTGCCGCCACCGCCGCAGCGCTGCGGTGGCCTCCGCTTGGAAGGCGCCCAGCGCCTTTCGGCCGAGCGGCCGAGCGCGGCAAGAGGAGCGGTCGGGCCGAAGGGCCGTGCTGTTTCTCGAAAAATGGGCCGTCTGGCCGTGGTTTTGTGACATTTGGGCCCTCACTTCAAACGGACTTCTGGCCAACCAAAAGTCACCAAGCTTTTTTTGGTTGCCCAAAGGACCCGGAAATAGAAGATCGCCTTTCGGGGCCACTCAAAATGGTTGCCAGTTTTTTGGAAATTCAAAAGGTGAAAGGTCAGCTTCCTTCCAATTGGTGGTTTGGAGCCCAGTGGTTTGGCGGTTTTTCCGCGAGGTGCCATCTACCCTCTACAAAAACCAGCGGAATTCAATTCCCCAACCACCAATCCGAACCACCTCTAAAACATCAGCTTCATCTTCCATCACCCTCCAAGCATGGTCCATTTGTATCTCAAATGGCTCACACAAGAGCCTGCAGGTACGAATGGAGCGCCCCTCAAGAATTCTGATTCATATGCTTTTTGTTTTCGCTTTTCGCATTTGGCTTTCGCTCGCGTCGCGAGCCGCGCACCTCGGGCGTGTCCAGCTGGAGGTGAGGGTCGCTAAGGCCCGCATCATGCCAAAGCATCTGCCGGCCGTGGCGCCGTTCGCTCCGCAGAAACAAGACGAGTCTGTTTGTGTGTCTGTGTGTCTGTTTCAGTGTTTCTGTGTGTCTCTGTGTCCATGTGTCTCTGTGTGTGTGCGGTTTTTGAGGGTCCCCTGTTTGGGTTTAGAAGGGAAACCAAAAAGATAACTACAATTGTTGGGGTGCCCCTTTGACACATCGCCAAAGAAAGGCGAGCCCTTGGATGTTCGTTGCCAGGTGAATGTGTCTTTGGTGAGCCACCGCGAGAAAAGACACCCACCAATAGGCTTAACTCCACTCAACGCGGAAATCTTCCATATGGGCCATTAGTAAATAAGGCCTACTTGAACGTTCGGCCAGGTTAGGAATTGTTGACCACTTGGGGGTAACCCCACTCAGGGGGACTTATAAGTGGGTGATAACCTTTGCTACCATCTTGCAATACTTTCGGCCACCATCCCTCCTTCACCACATCAAAACAAAAGAGAGATCTCCTCTAACATGGGACTCCCATTCGATCAGAATTCACCATTTTCAGGGAGGCTCAGGGATGCACAGTGGCTCCGGCACCGGCCAGGAGTCTTCCCCGTCCCCTCCCCACAAAGTGAGTGAGAACCGAGGAATAGTTGTTGTTTTCTGACACCCCGTGCCCTGCCCCCCGCTGGATCGGCCAAAACAAGCCCAGGAACTCTACCACTAAGAAGTAACCAAAGTCCGAAACGGAACTCAGCAAGTGAGTGAGCAAGGAGATATCTCACACCCCTTGCCCCTTCCCCCCCTTCCCCCCCTCTTTCCGCCCATGAAAACGGCCCCCTGCCTTCCACTCGCGCCAAATCAGCGGCATCAGCCTCCCCGCGCTCCGCGCGGAGGCCGACGCCGAGGCCGGGGCCGCCGAAGCGGCTTCGGCGGCGAGGGCGCGGCAGCAGGCCAGGCGCCCGCCGGGGAAGGGGTTCTCCTGGGCGTCTTTGGGGATGGACTTTGCCCTCAGCTTCCAAGGCCTCCTTTAGGCCTAGGCCTTGTGTTTGATCCAGAGGCCTTGATGCGCAGGGTTTGCGTCCATCCCCAAAGATGCGTTCAGCAAAACACAGGTCGCAGTGAAAAATTGAGATTGGGCCGCGGCGTTTAACTTCCGTTTCTGGGCTGTCCGTTTTCAGATTCCCCGCTAAACGTGACTAACTTGTGGCTACGGCATTCCAACCACTAAACACTAAAAGGCTATATGTGCTGAGGGGATTGCTGGGATCCGTCTGGAAACAATGAGAGAATATGTCCATGTACGTGTCGGGGCTGGAAAACAATATGTATGAGAAACTGTATGTCCAGTAGTGAAATCGGTGCCCCTTAAAACAAATGTATGTACGCAATTGTTTAAGTTGAAGATCTCTCCTTTGGGTTGTTTAAGGGCAACCTGGGATTGGCGCCTACTGTTCATGAGTGTCCCTTGAAACGAGTGGGTATGGGTCAAAAATCAAACCACCAATTGGATCGCAGGTTTGAGTCTATGTTTCCATTTTACCAGGGCAAGCCATTTTGGGGTACCTATTTTTAACCCACATGTGTGCTTCCGCAGAAAGCTTTGGGCTCGTTGGGGAGACCTGGGCTTGTTTTGGGGGTACGCTTGTTATCGCTTGTTGGGGTTGGTTTCAAGGGACGCCAAAAGGAAAGCCCACATTTTCTTGGCGTCCTCCCCCAAAAATGACACATGCCCAAACCTTTCAACTCCAGGGCATCACGATGTCAAGTTGGAACTTCTGATTCCGTCCCCAGGACGAATCAATGAATTCAAAAGAGACATGAGAGGAACCACCGAGGACAAGCATAATATGGCACAACAGCAAGTTCAGGAATGCCACCCGTAGAATTTTTAATGGATTACGGGAGGGCTCCCACAAATGTGAAGCCATTGTTTCATGAATATTCCTGGTCAGGGCTCCACTTTTTGACTACCCCAAGATACACTTAAACCCAGGCGTTTCTCTTTGGTGGGAATGAGCCACCCCTGGGTTTAAGTCCACCCTGAGATAGTCAAAAAGTAGAACCCTGTTCCTGGTTGCTTGGAAGGACAATGATGTTCAGGCAGATCCCCTGTCTTGGGCTCCTTTCTCGCTGTGCAGCAAAAGGAACCCACCACTTCAAGTCGGTTCTGAGGGCCGAAACGTTGAAACCAAAGTTGAGAATGAGCTCGAGCACGAGCTTGAGAGGGCTGTAGCGAAGCGTCAAACTATCCGGAAGGGCAGCCCCATGATTCTGGGGCAATATCCCATGTTTCAGGGTGCACTTCTACAGATTAACGCGGACCCCAAAAAACCACGCCTCTTGGGATCCGCATCTCCTCTTGGAAAATGGATCCCTTGTTTGAGTGCCTTCCTTGAATTAGTAGGCGAGTAGTTTCAGGACCCAGCCGGTCCAAACGAGCGGAATCCCTATGTTGAGATATGCGGCCTGTGGTCAAATTTCCTTATATGGCCCGTGGTTGCGGTTCCCTTAGGAATCATACAACGGTTCAGGATCCTTACAAGGTGCATGACCATCTGTGTGAAACCAAGTAAAGCAACTGCTCTAAAAGGCCACGGCACAATGTGGCGGGAGTCTATTTTCAAAAAAAAAAAAAAAAAAAAACAGAGATATCCGTGTCCTCTTGCTTCCCCCTTAAAACCACCCAACCAAAACACGCGCGGCCACTCAACAAGAAGGACCGGCCCTCCAAAACCGAAAAATGGGCTGGAGGTTTCGGGTTCAGAACAGCGTCTTTGCAGCAAACAATGTTGCCAACTCCTTTGCCGCGCCCTCCCCCCCAACCAAAAGGAAATACAACTTTGCTGTCCATCACCAGGTCAACGCCTAAAGTTGCCTAAAGCTGAAAAGTGTGTTTTGCTCGTGGAGTCGACGCACGACGCTTTGGGTCTCCTTGCTTGCCAGGCGCTTGCGAAAGAGCCGATGGCCCTTCCGCTTTATCCTGAGCGCACCTGGTAGGGTGTCGGCACGGTGTCGGGTGTGAGGGGTACGTTTGTAAACTCAGGAAGTGCCTTCTTCTTTTTTGAAATATATTTTTCCGCATGGCTTTTGTCAGGCCCAAAAAGGGTACTTAGTCAAAGCAACATAAGGATCCCAACAGTGGCTAAGAGCCACATAAACAGCGAGTTCTAAGGCCTATTAGGCGCTAGTGGGGTCCTTTGGCTGCCTTTTTTAACGCGTGCGTCCCTTCAATAAGGCTTGGGTTGAAACCATGAAACCATTCTCGCAAAGCAATCGTTAGGCAGGTTGTGAGTGGATCTCACCTGTATTGAAAAAGGCACGAGTGTCATCTGTCTTTATTAACCTTTTAAAGGTCACACAAAATCCCGTCATTCACCTCTGTGCTGTGGGTCATTAACCCCTTCACTCAACTGTTCAAAAAGAAATCTCGTTGAACAATCCTTTGCTCGATTAACCCCTGGAAGGAAACCGCGGCAAACCACTGTTTTATGGTTTTACCCTTGGGGCTTGGAACGGCTCAAAGGGAAGCCTTGAAAATACGGCTTACGCTTTTCTTCGGGGAAACGATTAAAATTACCCTTTCTGTGTACAATGGGGCACTTGCCTTTTTGTTGCACAGAGAAACACAAAACAAGTGCCACTGGATAACGGACCCTATGATCTGCGCTTCTTACTATGACTCACCAGCCGTTCATAAATTCGATGCGGTGTCCGGTCCGTAAGCTCCTGTGTCCGACAGGAAGATGAGGTGTACACAGAACCAAACCTAAAAACATCATTAAGTTGGAATGCGCTGGGGAACCTTCATTTATCGACTTGTTTGTTTGTGTGTTTTGCTTTTTTTCTTTGGGGGGGGGGGGGGTAAGCCCTTGACAAGGGCCCCTCTCCATAGCCCCGCCTATTGTCGCAACTCTTGCAGTTCCCAGACCCTCAGAGGGCATGGGGAACAAGGGCACCTTTTGCGGTAGTTGGATGCCAAAATCTGAAACAAGAAAGTAAATAATCCAACCATGAAATACGAATGGGACCCCACGTAAGCAACATGGGTGAAGCTGCAAACACGGAAACGCTCCTCTTTCCCGAGCAACACTCCAGCTCGCTTGCGCCCCTCTTCCCCGGCCGAAACGCCCCCCCACCAGCACTCGTATCTCGCAAGGGAGGGGCCCTCTGCCTTTCTGAGTGGATCGGCCAGAAAAACACATCGTTTTGCTTACCACTGAAATGATCAAACCCAACAAAGTCGACAGCCAAAAAACTCAGGCACTGACACAGAGCTTGCCATTTACCTCTACAAGCACCAGACATCTTCAATCCCCCAAACAAACCTATCCGATTGAGGTGCGAGCCGAACGCACGGACTGAGCTTTTTTGTTGCTCCGAACGGCCCTCGCCTGTGGCGAAGAGATAACTCCGCGCAAACTGCCCCGGCCGCGCTGGCGCCGGGTTGGCCGGCTTTTCCATCAGCGCCAGCGGACGCTTCATGACCAAAAAGCTGCTGATCAACGTCACCCCCTTAAAACCCCACACCGGCCAGATCTTTGGTTGTTGCTGTGGCTCAGCGACGTCTTTGTTTTCACTGTCTGTTGTTGGATGGGTGTTGCTTTCTTTGCTTGTGATCCCACTTCTTCTGGTGCGTGCTTGTCAACTTGTTGCGTGTGTTTCTTCATGCGTATTTTGTGGCTATTTGATGGTTGGTTGTTTGGAAGGCCGGTATCCGCACTTCCTGAGTGGATGGCCCAAAAAAGCTCCAACCCACTTTTTTTTTTCTAAATGGTCCAAAGCCAAAAAAGAAACAGCGACCAAAGTCCAGGAACCGGAACTCAGGAAGTGCGTAGTTTCAAAGGGCAAAAACCAGGTACTTTGATCCGACACATGGACCAAGAGACACTTTTCACGGATTGGCAAACGCCTCCAGGGCCTTGAGCCCGGACCTTGACACATCAAAAGATCCACCGGCTTTGGGAGAGCTCCGGTTTGGCTTGGGGCTTGGCGCACAACTTCAGACACGGGCTACACAGAAAAAATGCGGTCTTTCTGATGCTGATGGACTGTTTAGCCAAACCAAAAAAGAAACGCCCGTTGAGTCGGATCGATCCTTTCGGATGCTACACAGAAAATCCTTGAAAAATAGAACCCGTTTAGGGCTCGACAAATGGCACCATTCCCAATAAATGTCTAGATAGGAAGACCAAACTGGAAGAACTGCGCTGTCTACTTTCACCCAACTGCCAGGTTTCTTGCCTCCAGGTTCTACCATGCATGGATGGTTTCCCTGGTTACCTGCTATGGGAACTTGAAGCAGTGGGACTAGTACTTGATTATGGGCCCGTGATCATGGATTCGTGCAGGGGTTCCAAAATTGGCGAACCACCAATGAGGTGTCTCCTGCGACCAAAAAGGGGGGTCCCTAAGCAAAGACACGGCCATACACATGGAGTCAGTGAGGGCAGCGGGAAAGTTGCGGGTGAAATTTGTGGGGCACGCAGAAAGTACGATGGGTGTGTCTTGTTTTGGGGACCCCCGCCCCCAAACAAAAAGGTGGTTTCCTTTTTGGGTTTCCTGTCAAAATACAAAAACAAGGTCCCCAAAAAGAACACACTCCCCCATATGCTCTGATTCTGTTTCAGTCGACCTTAGACTTGTGGATGAGACCGCAGGAATCAGGACAGTTGGTGAGTGCCTTGTCTTGTCTGTTTTTTAGGAGTCGGACCCCCAAAAATGGCTTCGGTTTTCCTTTTGGTGTCCATTTATAACCACAACCACAAAGTATGTCCCCAAAAAAGCAACGTCCAAATCAGGGGGGTTCTTTTTGCCACCTTTTGTGAGAAAATGGGCGAGCCCCTCAAAAAGGAATCCTTCACGAGCCCCTCAACAAGGAATCCTTCACTACGAAGGAGTCGATCATTTTTCCATCAAAGCTGGCGAAAAGACGCCCTTCCCTTGGTCCAAATGGACCCTAGAATATGCCAACTGAAGTGCCGCAGTTGCTCCTGCCTCGGTCCGCTCCGGGCACTGCAATTGCACCCGCACCTGGATTTCGGGATTTCAGGGTCCCAGAGCCTAACTCCGCAATTGACTTCCCCTTTGGAGTTTTTCTGGGTGCCTGGAGTCTCCATGACCCTTTAAAAATGGGTCCATGACCCCCTGTGTCCTTTTTCAGGGGACACAACATGGTGATTTTCCTTTTGGGGTTCCCTTTAACACCATCGAAACAAGAATTACCCTCCAAAAAAGAAGCACCCACATGTGTTTGAGTATGCTTGTTCAGACTTTCCGTTGAAGTAGCGTGTTTGAGCATGCTTGAGTATCTGTCTTGAGTAGTATACCTTCAGCATTTCGTCACTGTCTTCCTCCATTTGCCTAAGCCCCCTGGTAAAAATAAAAGTATGCACAGTAGTGACAGATTCCCTTTCAATCCAACCGGGGAAAGCAAAGCATATGATTAACCAAATGCAAGTCTTTCCTGAGTGTACCCTTCGAGGTCCTTGCAAGGATGTACCAAATGACCCCGCAAATCCCGAGGTAAGGCTTGCGCTAGCGTGGCCAAACGACACCGCCCGGTTTGGAGGATTCACTTGGACCCTTCCTTGATGCGATGTTCGGGCCATTCACCGATCAGGAACATGTGTTTTCCCCTCGCAAAAAGTAAACTGATGCAAGCCAACCCCTAAAACCGGGGGTTGCCACACCGAAGCCAGCGAGCTGCCAAGCAAAAAACAAACAACTTTTAGGCACGGGGCAGCAGCTCAGCTGTTGTCATAGAGCCATGCTCAAAAAGAGTGCTTCCCCAAAAGGAGATGGGACAATTAATAAATTAGGTAGGGGTAGGATCGTCCCCGGAGTGCTTGAAATTTAGGTCTCGTCCCGCATGCCCCCCTGTTTTTTTTTTTTTTTTTTTCCGCGGCGAAACATTCGCGTCTAGCCACGAAGCTATCCTTGCCCAGATCAGAGGGTTGCTTTTGATCCCTGCACATCTGCTCTTGTGCTTGGTGGCGAAGACGCGTCTTTCTCTCATATGCAGTGGCACCTGCCAGAAGGCGTCCTTTATCTCAATGACCAGCAGTTCCTATGTCCAGTGGCTCTTCCCTTGGTCCGTACCATTGGCCAGCTCGAGCGCCCAAATGTCGATTCCACTGGCCAATGACAATCTGAACTGAGACCAGGGGAATACTTAAAAGCTTCCGAGAACTGTCCAACACCTAACCAAACCTTCCAAAGTTCTTGGACAGCTCAAACAAAACCAGGTTGCTCTTCCCGCAAAAGGCTCGTCTCTTTTGCGGGCGCGGAAACGCCTGCGAGGAGTCAACTTTCGCGTCTGTTGGGAGTTGAACGGTACCCTTCTTTTGGCTGGCCTTGCGGGAAAACCACAGGGTGATGACCGTTGGGGGGCCCCCAAAAAACAAGCTAGGTCCAATTTAGTCCACCCAGACAAGAACATGGTTTTCCTGTGCTTGGAGGAGATCCCAAATAACGCTTGATGATCCTGAAGTGCGCAGAATTCTTCTCTTGCCTCTGAATCAGAACAGCGCAGACTCGCTTAAAGCTTGCCTTCAGCCTGGAAACCAAATGAAAGCAATCCCCTTTACTTGGTGTTCGTGCCGCTCTGAGCTCCCCGATCGCGCCTGTAGTTCCGGCTCTGCCCTGGCCAGGATGGATTCAGATGGAAATTCTTGCCAAGCTGTTTCTTTTTTTTGCAAACCCCTCAAAGCCAGCAGAAGGGGGGCTCCAAAATGTGCACGGGTCTTTCCCCAAAGCCCTGTGGGTGAGGTGTGTTTCCGAATTGCGGACTTTCTGGACACCCATTTAGTTTGAGCCTTTCGAGCCTACCCCTAGGGACCTGGGAACATCCCAACCGAACCACCTCCAAAATCCGCACAAGTGGTCTTCCTTTCAAAAAATAATAATCAGAAATCCGAAGGAAAAAAAAAAAAACGAGGCACCCTCCAAAAAGGGACACACCCCAATGGCTAGAACTCCTTGGCCACAACCCGCTCGCTCGCTCGCTCGCTCGCCCCGCCGCCGCCTCCAGCCAGGCGCCGTGGTGGGCCTCACAGCCGTCAGCCTGGCGGTTGGGGTGGGGGGGGGGAGGATTGGATGCAAGGACAAGAAATGATAGTGGTGCCTTTTTGGTTGGTTTTAATATGTTGTTTTTATTTCAAGATTAGCTTAAAACAATGGTTGTGCCCTTTATGTTGTTTGCTGCTTTTGGTTTTGCCACAGAAAGTGGCTCCAGAGCCCTAGCTCCAATCATGTATAATGTAAGGGGCTGACATCAAAGCACCCCCTGTCACAACTCCGATCTATTTTCTTCAAGCCTTATAGCAATCTCCGACGGCCCCCCCTGGAAAAACAAGAAGAAGAAAAAGCCAGAGCACAAAAAGTGGCACCTGCATTTGGCACCCCAACAAGGCTAAGCCCGCTCAACCCTCTGGACGCCTCCAGAACCAAACCGCCCGCGTGAGCAGCTCATGGCTATGCGAACCCTTTGGTGGACTTCAGGTGGGGATTCATGTGCTCCCCACAGCCGTATGGCTATGGGTCAAAACCCAAATCGTACCCCCACTGAACATCCCAATCCCCACTAAAATAGACAAACATGGGTGCTGCAACTACCCCAAAGTGGTACCATTGGTGTTGACCCACAGCCATATGTCCATTGGGTGCCTTTTTGATTTGAGCTTGAAAGCAATTGAAGGCACAACAACCAACGCATTCACAGCCATATGACCATTGGGTGCCTTTGTGATTTGCGCTTGAAAGCAATTGAAGGCACAAAAAGCAGCAGCGAACCCCTAAACTCTTTTTGTCCTCAAAATCTATGAATCCCAGATTGGTCAAAGTTCAAACCCGAAACCTGGGCTTTCTTTTCTACCAAGAGTTGACCTAAACAAAATCGGACTGTGGATGATCCGCCCCCATTTTTGTTGTTCTTGGGGGACAATTCCATACATGTCTGCAGCACAAAGGGCAAACAAAACCCTCAAACATGAAAATACCGCCCAGGGACCTTCGCTCAGCCAGTCAGCGAAGCCGTGATTGGTTCTTGCCTGGAAAGGTACCGCTTTGGACCCGCTCACGTAAGGGGCACGCTGCAACCAGATGATCATATGATTGTTTCTAAGATGTGGGTATGGCTCAAACAAAATTCAAGAGCCAGGGCTACGCAGGCTTTAGCCTTTGGTTCCATTTACCAAGGCGCCATGTTGGTACACTTTTTGAGCCACAGCCTCTACGCTTTTGTTGGCCCAGAAGGCCATACCGAAAAGAGGCAAAAGGATTCGAAGTCTTGGGGATAAGTTTGCCTCGGAGCCCCGGGCTGCCCCCCCCCCTTTCCGGAAATCCGATTCGATCGGACTTCCATTCTTGGGGTTCCGCAGCTGTTGGGTGGGCTCCCGTGTCTTCTCCAAAGAATTGGGCTAACATCAACCAAAGGCTCATTGATGTTGAATTGAGATTCATCACCTCCAGTTTAGTAGTAGAGG